AGTAAAAGTTTTCTAAATACAGAAGCTTATGGAGTAAGGATATTTTTTTTATTTAATTGAAAATTAGCTCTAGTAATGATCATAATTTTGCCTGAAACTTTTGTAGTAAAGTATTTAAATAATGGTCTTAATTATTCCGACTTTAAAAGGTTAAATGCAGGCTTATATTCTATATTCCAAGACCCGAAATATAATCTAATATATTCAAGAAAATAATCATCTATGATACAGTTTTTTAATCATTTTTAAGAATTTTCCAGTTCAGTTTTTTTTAATATTTAAGAAAATCCTAAAATCCAAAAATATTTCATAAATAATATCAAAACTTAAGGATAAGCCAGCAACAGGATTCTCCTTTAAGTCACTGTTACTGCTGCAGCTTCTGTTGTGGCTGCTGCTGCTGCTACTGCTGTTGCAGCTTCTGTTGCTGCCTCTGCCTCTGCTGGCGTCGCAGCTGGCGCCGGCAGCCGTCGTGGCCCCGCTCGAGTTCAATGCACTTGATTTGGCATACATTTGGCATTCGGCTCTTATCAGACGCAACTGCAGTTGCAGTTGCCGTTGCAGTTGCAGTTGGAGAGCAGATCTCTCGCTCTCTCTCTCTCTCGTCCATGGCTGGAGAGCGGAGAAAAGCAGAGACAAATGGGGCTTTCGAGAGACGGAGAGAGACATTGTGAGAAGCAGAGCGGCTTGCGCACACGTCTTATCAAAGCGGCGGTAGGCCGCCGAATGACTGGCTGCCAGCCGCAGTGATAACAGGCTTGAAGCTCCCCAAGCCCCAACCGGCGGCGATCGAACATGTTTGAGCGCTTGGACAAAAAAACTCACTCAAACTTCGGGTAAAGAGAGTGTCTTCAGCGAGTAAGAGTAACTACTAAAATAAAAAAAAATAAATAAATAATATTTAAGCGGCAAAGAGTGTTCCGGTTGGGACAGCTGACTGGGCAACCGTGGCGTATGAGCAATATGCAACCTGCAACCTGCATTCACCTTGCAACGTGCCACAGAAAGTGGCACAAACACAGCCCCCTCCCCGCCTTTGGGGGTTAGGTAAGCCGAAAAAAACCAAGAGCAATTCAGAAGAGAGCTTGGTGGTGTGTGCCACATTTCGAGATTTGGCACACTGGCTAACAAAAGTGCATGCAAAGCGAGAGAGTTGCAAGTGCGGATGTTGCAAGTTCATTAACATTTGATGGCCATAGCCATACCACACCATATACCGGTAGCTTGAGTCTTGCCACAGTCTTGTCTCTTGTCTAAAATGTTCTGCTTTCGCCTCTAATCGTTGCAACAAAAACAAAAAGTAGCAAAAACCTCGCCCCCCACCACCCCCCTCCCTCCAGAATCATTTTAAATTGCAGATATTATAATTTCTCCGGCTAGAGTAGAAAGTTGGTAATCAATCAATTGCCAAGATAACTTTCGCTCTGCTTGCAAATTGCATCGACTTTTCTAGTGAGTTCGTTGCCTAAGTCTTTCGTTTTGTGGGGAGAAGCTTCCTTCTTTCTTTGCGGGAAAATTATTAAAGAAAATTTGAGTCTGAAAGTGCTTAAGAGATATACTTTACAAAGAGATTTTTAAAGAAAAACAATATTATTAAAAATTTTTTGGGGAATAAATAATCATTTAAAATTTAGTTCATTTTTAGAAGAACTCCAGAATGTATTGGTTTTATTCTTTCTCTGAATAGATTTTTAAATAATATTTGAATAGTTTTGTGTTTTAAGAAAATACTGATAAGCTTAAAAATTAATAAAAAAAAAAAAAGTGTACATTTTTATCAGAATTGGTCGATAAACTAGAACTGCAAACAATACTGTGTTATAAGATAGTAATTGTATGAATAACTTGACCAAAATCCTTATAACTCCTCCTACCCTCATGCTTATAAAACCTTTTAATTCAAATACTACTGTTTATGTATCTATTTTGTTTCGCACTAATTTAGTGGTAATTAATCCGACGACTCCTCCTCGCTGTGACCAAATATGGTCAAGTGATACTTTCGCCGAATAGCCAAGGCAAGACTTTTAGCTAAAACGCCACTAAAATCAAAACCAATTTCACCAATTAAACTAATGTTGAATTGACGATAGAAATTTCTTGGAAAAAACATCATCGTTGTCTGCCATTTGTCAGTCAGTTGACCAAATGTCGCCAATGCAAAAAATGGGAAGCAACAATATCGGAAAAATCGGAAAAGCAGTAAGCAGCACCAACACCAGTAGCTTGAAAAAATTGCAACGAAACTAAAACCAAAAACAAAACTCTACAAAAAAAAAAAACAAAACATAAAAAATACAAGGCAGTCAGTCGTGACGCGGCTACATTGCAGTTGCAATTGCTACTGTTGCTGTTGCTGTTGCTATTGGTGTTGCTACTACTGACACACTGACGGCAGTAGCAGCAGCAGCAGCAGCAGCAGCAACTGTTGCATGTTGTTGGTGCAAAAATTGTGACCATGAACGTGAAAAATCAGCAAAGTGAAAAATAATTGATTCCGGAAGGAAACTGCCGCAACTGGTTTTGCTTTTGAGTTTTTTTTTTCTTTTTTTGTTTTGGTTTTGGTTTTGGATTTTTGGTTTGGTTTTGGTTTCTATGCAGTTTGTATTTTTTTTTGTTTTTGTTTGCAGTTAGCTGTTAACTGTTTACTTTTTTTTTTACGGCAGTTGGCTTTTTAAATGGATTTTTGATTCGATTTTCGGTGCCGTAACAGGGGAAGCGCGATGTCCATAGAAAGCCGCTTTTCCAACTCCAATTGGAAGTGAAATCCATCGAAGAGGCACCTGTCACTACGCATTTCTGGTCTATTAAAGTGTTGAGCTTCCCCAGATCCTCCAGATTTCCAAGCTCCTCCTGATCCTCTACCCTTTATGGAAAAAAAACTAAAAAACACACTGATATGTTGGATGACAGTTTTGTGTCAGAAGGAAGTGGAGAAATTCTGCTCCATTCTCTGGTTCCTAGTTTTTTTTTTTTTTTTTTTTGTATTTTGGCTCCAGTTGCTCCTCCAGTTTTAGCTGAAATCTCGATGGCTTGGCAAACAATGGTTGCCAGTTGCTGATGCTGTTGCTGCTGCAGTTTTCTGGGCCATTGGCGCAGAAAGTGACTGCCGCGGGCCAAAAGTGAAAAACAACAAGAACCCACAGCTTGAAGCCACAAGATTCAAGATCTCTCAGATCTCTCCCACCTAACAGCTACACATGAAGAAAATATCAAGACCTAAGCTCAAGCTAAGCTTAGTTAAAAGCTAGTAATATAATAAAATTTCTCTCAGTGATGGGAATAATGAGTGGCAGCAACGTTCTCGACTGCTATGCGGCGCCTTGCTGCAGCAGGAAGTCAATTACCGCCTGGAGGTGGAAAGAGTCGAGTCGGTCTCGCTCCGTGGCGGCATCTAACTATGTGCTTGGATATCTTTGCATCTATGCTTCACTTCAATGTGGCTATGTATCTTGTCTCGAATTTGCAATCTACTGCTAACTTTCTCAATTGAAAATTGCATTTGAGCGATGCTTGATGACGCGATTTCCCTCGAATTTTCCACACCGCCTCGCTCTGCTGAACTAGAGGCTCGAATGTTTTGAAGTTTTTTTTTTTTTTGAGAAGCTTGCCGATGGAGGTGATGGAGCTCTGGGAAGTCGTTGCAACTTGAAACAAGCCAGCCAGCCATCCAGCCAGCCAGTTGACCGAAAAAAAGTGTGTCAAGTTTTCGACAAAGATCAAGTACATCTCAGATAGTTTGGCATCCGCTGATGCCGCATTGGGTTAACCATTTCCATTTCCAGTTGCCATGACCAAAATGTTCTCGAAAATCTTGCCATGGCTCTGGCTTAGATTTTGGTGCAATTTCGTAGTGAAAGTGGGCAACAAATAGTCAGCAATCTGTTGTTGCAACTTTTGGCGCTGCAACTAGTTAGAAAGGAATCCCCCGGCTTTCAGTAATTGGTCTTCTGTTTGAATCTAGATTGTAGATTGCCAGTTCAACTGCCAAATAAATTGCATTCCTTGCTGCATTTTGTGGGTTAACCAAAAACAAAAAAAAAGATCGTGTTCTCGTGGGTGCTTTGACCCACTTGTAAGCCCCACCACATTGACCCACTCCCCATCCATTTCAATCCAAAAACGATCCAATCCACCATCCTGGTCTGGGTCAGAGAAAGGGAGAAGACGTCTCTCTCTCTTGTTAGTGGTTAGCGTTCACTTTTGCCACTGTCACCGTCCATCAAGCTCATCCATCCATCTGTCCACATATCCAACTCGTCATTCCAACTGCCCATCTCAGCCAATCCAATCCGAATCCATTCCGATTGGGTCAAAGAACTCTTTGCATTCAACGCTTTCCATCGCTACCATTTTGTGGACGTGACCCACGTGGTCGTCGAATCTCGGATCTCTTTACCTGGATGGGGCACTCTTCCCGGGCTATTTTCATATGCACGTCGCACGTCGTTGCCACTGATAACCCAGTATCCCAGTTAAATTTGAAATCAAAAGCCAATCGGACGCGGCATTGGAAGCGGATTGAGATTCCCATTTGAATGTCAAAACATGTTGAAAAAAAAGGGACAAATATGAGGGTCTCGACTGTCCTGATACCCGGTACTCAGAGGGACTCTTTCAAAATGAAATGAGTTTTGGAAAAGGCTGATCTAAGTCTTAGGAACTACTGGAACAATAACAGTATATAGACATAGAAAATAATACTTGAAGTACTTTAAACACCATAAGGTATACAAAACCCCCTCCGGTTAGGGTATCAAAATAAGAGAGAGAGCGGGCCCTGAGCGGGCTATAAATCCGTTATGTTATGCATAAATACGGCGGCGTGGGCGTCCGTCGCGTCAGTCAGTACCCACTACCCAGTACTCAGTACTCAATACTCAGTACTCACTCGTACTTTCAATTGGCAGGGCCCCGCCTTTTTTGGATGCCCCAATAATGTCTCCGATCATATAAAAGCCTCGACGCAGCCCAGCCGGCGTTTCTTTTTAATCCAAACAATGCCACCGCCTAGAAGTACCCGGAACGCGTCCTATCCAGTCGCAGCATCTATCCTGCTGCAGCTACTGATACTGTCACTGACCTTGACCCTGACATGGGCCGCCAGTGAACCCGCATTGGAAGCGGAGACAGAGCCACCAGTTCCTCTTCTGAGAAAAGTCAAATTCCGGACACCGGTGCCTCCCAGTCCCCGATGGGGAGCCAATATGCAGATGCTACGCCGGCACAACAGTACGTAAGACAGTGGATAGACCCAAATCCAAAGAACCCCTTGGATTATCCCAATTGGAGATTAAGAAGTACCATTTTCCAGGTCCCGCCTTCGACTTCTGGACGGAGGACAGCGAGACGAATATCTGGGAGCACTGCGGCCTCTTTGAAGGCGACATAATGCTCCACAGAGAGCTCCTAAGGAATGGACTGCTCAACGAGCGTCTCTCCTGGCCAGATGCCACGGTGCCCTTTTACATCGATCCCCAGGACTTTGGTGAGCTTAGTAGAGCATATTTTATGGAAAAAATCTCTTACCTCTTCCGTAGACGCCAACCAGACCATGGTGATACTGAAGGGCTTCAAGGAGTACCACGACAGGACGTGCATCCGCTTCCGGCCGTACGAGAAGGGCGACAAGCACTGGCTGATGATCAAGGGCAACTACTCCGGATGCTGGTCGAGCGTCGGACGGCGGCAGGGTGGTCAGGTGCTGAACCTGAACACCCCCAAGTGTGTTACCCACGGCGTGGTGGTGCACGAGCTGTTGCACGCCCTCGGTTTCTATCATCAGCAAAGTGCCACCGAGAGGGACGAGTACGTGAAGATCAATTGGGAGAATATACTGGATGGCCATGCCCACAACTTCAATAAGTACGCCCGCACCCACATCACCAACTTTGGGGTGGAGTACGACTACCAGAGCGTGATGCACTACAGTTCCAGGGCGTTCAGCAAGAACGGAAAGGCCACCATCGAGCCATTGGTAAGGAAAGGGTTATAGAAAAAGATACTCAAGTTAATCCCAAGTCAAGCAAGACAATGTTAGCTAAGGGGAGATCTTACAGAGTTATATTACAGGAAATATCCATTCAACATTTATTCATCATATATTCACGATTACTTTAGAGTAGTAGGAAGCTTGTTTTAACAATACTTTAATCACATATACGTATATCTCAAAGGTACTGTATGGTTTACAACATAACTTGTATTTCTTTTTTTTTGGACATGTAGTGTTTTATTTCAACTATTAACTATATTTGAGTTCAACTTGTAGCTCCAACTCTTGGATTCTTTCATATCTAGTCTATTTTAGATACACTTATATGCTTCAAGTCAAAATATTCGAAAAAAAAAAGTAAAATGGATGTTTTCCATAATTCTGCCACTTATCATAGTTACTTTAGAAGATGTTTTAGGCTAGTTCAAGGAGTATTGGATTTGGTTCGAGTTAGTTTTGGCTATCTTTTTGTCATACTTGCCATATGCTACATACCTTTGCAGGACCCTTATGCTTCGCTGGGACAACGCCGCGGTCTCTCCGACAAGGATGTCTCAAAGCTGAACGAAATGTACGAACAGGACTGCAACAGCGAGGGTTTTCTGCTCAACTTTGATCGATTCGGTAGCTATTTGGACGAACTGCTGGACTACTTCCAGGGCAACATTCAGGATCTCTTTGGATAGTTCCTTCTGATGCCAATAAAGGGGAGTATATGCTAGGTAACAAAGAAACTAAACTGACTGATCTCGTCGATGGTCTGGGCGGCCTCGATGCGCAGGGCCGGATAGTTGTAGTTGTCGGCCAGCTCCTGCAGGGCCTGGCGGAGCTCCACGCCCCAAATGCGCTGCACGCCGCGCAGACTGAAGCGGGCCAGGAGCCGAAGCAGTTGGCAGGCGCGCTGCCGCAACAGGTGGTGGCGGCTCTGCAGGAGCGTGGCGAAGCGCAGACGTGGACTGAAGACGATGCGTTCCACCAGCTCTGCATTCTCGGGCAACTCGCGCAGCACACAGCCCAGCAGGGCCAGAATGCAGCCAGCCAGTCTGACGGAGGCCGCATCCGAATCCGACTGCCTGAAGTCGTAGGTGAGGAAGTTTAGAAAGAGCTCGTTGGCCGAGAGAATGGCCACAGCATCGCAGAACTGGCTGAGGAAAGCCTGCTGCAGGTGCACCAAATGGCAGACCAGTTCATACAAGCTGCTGGCCGTTTCCAGTTCCTCCTCCGTTAGGTCCGGTATGCTGCGCAAGGTGCGGCTCAGCGAACCAGCCGGGTGGGTGCCGGATGCAGCCGAGTCTGTGAGCTGGCGGTTCGACAGCAGCAGCTTGCAAGCGTACATCAGATTGGGCACCAGCTTCACGTCCACGTAGACATTACGGATGACTTCCAGGTCCACAATCAGCATGGGATCCGCCAAAACGAAGGGTAGGGAGAGCAGTTGGGCCACACTTTGCAGTACCCGAGGAATGGCCTTGGCGTTGCGCAGTGGCGCCACAATGATGCTCACCAGGTTGTGCTGTTTCAGCGAGTCCAGTTCCCCGTCGAGAATCTCCTGCACAGACCGATTGAGGAAGGCCAGCCACTCGTCGTTCTCGATGGGCGGGCTCTGGGATTCGTCGCAGCTATCCCAGCCAGGCAGCAAGGGTGGTGTATTGCTAGAAAGGATTCATCATTAATAATGAAGATCAGGAGCAACTATGTCGACACTCACTCGCTACTCAGCTTCTCCTCGCCGGTGTTGGACTGCATCGACTGTTTCAGGTTGAGATTCTTCTGCTTCTCTTGCTGGAGCTTCTCGTGGTGTAGCTTCTCTTGCTGGAGCTTCTCCTGGGTCAGCATTTCGGTGGCCTTGCGGTGTGCCTCGGTGTCGACGCTCTGGCCCAGCCGCAGCGAAAAGTTATCCATGTTCTGACTAAGCTTGCGCTTCTCCAGATCCTTGCTGCGCGACTGACGCACGCCTGATGGAATCTGAGACCTGGCGTTGGCGTTGTAGTCGCTCGGAAAGTTGTCGTTCATGTGGTTGAGTATCATGTTTGAGTTTCCACTAACGAAACAGGTGTGCGAGTTGACCAGCGGCTGGTGGTGCACCATCAGCGGCTGTTGCCCCACCAGCGGGTGTTGAGCCATCAGCTGGTGTTGCGCCAGCAGCGGATGCTGCGCCAACGGGTGCTGTAACGGGGCCGCCCTAAGGGCGGATAGATCCCGCAGCGAAACATCGGCAAAGGGTATGACCACACGCTTTATGTTATCCTCCACATCCGTCTCAAGATGCTCCACATCGCTGGCTACAATGGGGTTGATGCTGTCTCGCGAGGTGCTTAGATTTCCGCAGAAGCTTAGGGCAGCCAGAGCTTCGTGCAAGTCGGATGCTTCTTGTCTGGAGACTGCCGAGGATCTGGCCGGCTTAGGGGGCTTAGCGTCGGGATTGGTGAAGGGCGATTCCTGGGCAGCCTCGGCGTGCATATCCGCCAGAAAGAGACGACCCTCTACAAAAGGATGGCACAAAAGTTGCGTCCATGATGTTCGCTGGACCGGATCCTTCTCGAGCAGGCCCTGCAGAAACGAGCGGCATTCGCTGCTCAGTGTGCTCGGCCATTTGACGTCCTCGTGCTTTATCACAGTAATCAGGGTGACAATGGAACTGGCGGAGAATGGCGGCTGCCCGGCCAGACTCTCGTAGGCAATGCAGCCCAGCGACCACAGGTCTGCCTGGTGATCGTAAGGCTGCTCGGCCAGCAATTCGGGCGCCATGTACAACGGGGTGCCTTTGATGGAGGTGAGAACATGGGTGCCCATAGTCATGTTCCGCGCCAAACCAAAATCACACAGCTTGGCGTGCATGTTCTTGTCGAGGAGGACATTTTGTGGCTTCAAATCCCGATGGAGAATACGATTGGCGTGCAGGTAGTATAAAGCCGACACCAGGTGCCCAATGACCCGGCGGCCCGGCTCCTCTTCCATGGGCCCGTTGTAGGTCAAGTACCGGTGCAGGTCCATCAGGGCGAATTCCGTGATCACGTACAGATCCATCTTGGACTCCAGGGACTCTATCATCTCGATGACATGTGGATGCTTAAGTCTGGCTTGGATTTCGCATTCGCGTCGCAGATTCTTCAGCTCGCGGGCGGAGCGTCCCCGCTTGGAAATGACCTTGATGGCCACCATTTTGCCATCGGCTTTGCGGAGCGCCTTGTAAACGCAGCCGAAGGATCCCTGGCCCACCAGCGAGCTCACTGTGTAGCGGTCCATGACTGCTTACAAGGGCTTCAGGACTTGAGGATGTGATGGAATGTCTTCCGGCTTCCCGGTTTTCCACTACCCAATTATTCGATTTTCCTTCCGCGACCAAACAAATGTGACCATACACGATAATTTCACCTGCAATGACGCTAGTAGAGATGACAATTGTTCGATAAAATTGGCTTATCGGGTGGCGATTCTGGTGCCATCTCTAACAGGAAACCGAACAGCTGATCTGTGTGTTTTTTCCCGACGCTGAGGAGAGCAAATCATTGTGAAACGAATAATGGTCGCTGAACTGACCCAATCAGACGGATCAGCCACCCAGTGAGACGAGTCGAGACTGTAGACGAGACGTCCCCTCCACCCATACAAATCGGCAGGATGCGCCAGCCCAATTTGTATGTGATCCTGTCGCATGCGCTTATCGGTGAGTAATCCCCGGCCGGCCTGTTTCGCTATCATATATTTTAATACATAAAACTTTCAGGTTCCGGCTTTTTCTTTCTGTATGTGCAGCACGTCCGGGTGATATTCGAGACGCGCACAAATATCCAGCAACTTAATCAGTTGGAGCGCGAGGCCCTGCTGCGGCGTGAGGATGCTTTGTATTTTGCTTTCTACAAGCGGATGGCAGAAAGTCCGAATTTTTGGCATGGATACGAGCAGCTAAAGAACGTCACAGACATCGAGTATCCGCAGAGTGTGAATGTACTGCAGCGCTTCTATGTGCTGCCGGAATTGGTTACTGCGTAAGAATTCAAGTGGCAAGCACTTGATTCGCCATTTAATCATATCAATTGTTGTCTTGCTTTTCAGATACTTCTTCCATATAGTGCGGGCCGGCTTCAATCCGATGGTACAGCCCATGCAGTTCTACCTGGAGTTCGTGTGGCTCATGGGCGGTGTCACTTTGCTGGTGCTATATCTCTATGGGACACTGCTTAGCGAAAATGTCTTTGGTGGCATATACGGTGTGATCTCGTATCTCATGTTCCACAGCTTTGTGGCCAAGATATATGAACGGCCACTGGCCAGAGAGAACTTTGCCTTCCCGTTCATATTCCTGCAGATGTTCTACCTTTGCATTTGCATTGGACGCATAATACACCGCCAACGGCACACGTCGCGTTTGTTTATGGTGAGGTTTCAGATTCGGCTAAGAAGATCCCTTTCTAATGCCTGATTTGTTTTCAGATCTTTGCCATGTCAGTGTTTACCGCCTGCGCCATGCTCTCCTGGCAGTTCTCCACCATTATTTTCACCACCCAAATTATTATTGTTATGACTTCATGGAACCTGAGCGCCTTGCCTGCTGGCCTGGCCAATTCCTTTGCCTTTGACTACTCCCTGTCGCACATACTGGCCCATGTCTTGGCCTTCATCCTGTCGCACGGCAACAACCAACTTCTCTTCACCTGGCAGTTGAGCGTCTCCTTTTCGCTCTTTCTCATCACGGTGGTGCGTCATGTGCGCCAAGTGCGCAGTCGTCGTCAGGGCCACCACGATCCTCTACAGGGCGACTACTTCTCCCTAAAGTTCATCCTATTGGCCTTGCTCTTTGCCAGCAGCATGCAAGGCATAATGCTGGAGCTTCTCTGCCGCGCCGGAGTTCTCAGTGTGACGGATAACCCGCACACCCATTACACCGAATTGTGGGCACACTGGGCCCTCCAGATCGAGGTGGGCTTCGTTACCAACCTATCCGCCTGCAATCCACTGTACGCCCGCGTGGCCTGGCCAGAACTGTGGCAGCTGGTGAAGACACTCATTGTAAAGCCCTACTGCATGTATGGAGTGGTAATGCTGGCCATGTTCTTCCGTCGTTGGCGCAAGAGTGGAGCTCCCGTAAGCGCCATCAGCGAGGAGCAGCGTGAACGTGCTAGGAATTATGTCCTAGAGGATTTCCTCGAAGAGCATCGCGTCTCCATGGGGGATATGTCCAATAAGCAGACAGAGGCCCGCCTGCAACAGTGCTTCCGACTGCTCGACAGCTGTGACCACGACTACGAGAGGTATAAGCGTGCACAGGCGCGTCTGCGCCAGGAGCCGCCGGCTGCCAGGGACAACTTCATGCAGGATATCCGGCGGCTGAAGGAGCAAATCCATCGCAACAGCGACAAGCAGCGTAAGGAGCGCGCCCAGGAAACCAAAGAGGCGGGCGGCGGAGATGTACCTGATCCAACGCCCCCCGAGAAGGAGGATTTGCTCCGCGAGGATGAAACAGATAAGGAGGATCTGACCTCCGATACTCTGCCGTCCAAGTCCCGCAGCGAAGATGAGCAACCTGATCCGGATGAGAAGGAACATCCAATGCCGAGCGGTAATCAGAGGCGGCCAAAGCGTAGCTCCTCCGCCAGACGCAGTTCTGTAGTGCCCACAACGAATTCCCAAATCCTTAGCCTGCACTACGTGTACAGCTTCATACAGATGCTCGTCTTCACGATCGTGGGGCTGGCGGTGCGCAAACTGTTCTTCCTGAGCTTTACCCAGGGCTGCGTTATAGCGCCCACCATCTGCTCCAAGGTGTGGTACCACCGCCAGCGGAACATCTTCTGGTCTGTCTCGCTGGCCGTCTTCCTCCTCAGCATGTTTGATCCTGGAATGGTGGTAAGTTAATACATATTTCATAACAAATCCTCAATCCTCAACGATGTATGCTTATCTAGAACATCCGCGAGGAATACTTCCCTACCAGATACTCCCAAAGCCCCGATGACCTGGACAGCATGCTAGAATGGATCAAGCTGAATACAGAGCGGGATGCTGTCTTTGCCGGACCGGTGGAAATTATTGGCACCGTGCACCTGACCACCAAGCGGCCCATTGTAAATCATGCCCACTTGGATATGCGTCAAATGGCGTAAGTTTCCCGGTACTCCAATAAGAGGGAGATGAAAATAGTTATAGCAGTGCCTGTCTTTCTTCTAACAACCCGTAATATTGTCCGTACTTTTTGCAGGGAACGCACAGAGCACGTGTATTCGATTTACAGTCGACAGCAATCGTCGGATATCTACAATCAATGTGCTCGACTGAAGATCCAGTACTTGATCATATCGCTAGATGAGTGTACGAATGAAGTGCGGTAAGAATAGAATAGATTACAACTGGGTATGGAGACCCAAGACTCATTTGTATCCTTATCTCAGGGATGACTGCGATGTGCTGGCCATTTGGGATGAAAAGCAGCCGGCGTATCGAAAGTATCCACAATTCTGTCACGAGCTGCTCCACAAGAACGTACCCAGTTTCCTGAAAGTATACGCCAACGATCACTACGGTATCATCAAGATGTTCTCCCAGAGCGTCCAGATCAATCTGAAGCACAACAAGATGCCCGAGATGTCCATCTAGGATCGGCAGGGGGCGGGGGGCGGCAGGAGGAACGATATAGGAATGAGAGTGGCTAGGGAAATGGGTATAGGTATGGGAATGGGAATGGGTATGGGGATGGGGATGGTGGTATGACGATTCGGGGGAATAACCATCATCGACTGTGTTGTGTTTGTCGTAGCTATGTGACTAAGGATTAGCGATTTGCGATATAATTGTGTATTACGGATTACGTTTAGTATTTGCTTGGACTTATTGCCAGACATTGGTAAGTCTATAGCTCCCTTGCTACCTGCTACCGCCACCACCGCCACCCACTGCTCCCAAATAATCAACTGGGAGGCCCTTCCGTTAGATAGCAATTAAGTGCATTTAGCAGCTCAACTCGTTTCCGATTCAGATTTGGATTCCGGTTCAGATCAAATCATCCGCTTCCATTTCCGTTTGGATCATTCCCCGCGCCTGCGCCCGTTCGCTCCAGCGTCCTCGCATTCGCATAAGTTAATCCTAGCTAAGTTAATCTAGCGGACAGACTCTAAACTATAATACTTTCGTTAAGTTTAAGCTAAGCTTTTTACAATTATGTATGTATGTAGTCCTATATTTGACGCGTGGTCCAATGGGGCACTGAAAGGAAGGAGGAAAGGAGACGTGCCCCGAGTCCATGATCCCAAATCCAGACCCAAGAAACAATGGCAGTTGGCAAATGTCTAAGGGCAGAAACGTGTCTACATTTGTCAGAAAATAAATAAAATATAACAGAGCATACAGTTGAACAATGTTTTTATTAAAAATAAAAATCAAACAAAGCCAATCAAATAATCCACAAATCTTTTAAGGTATTCCGTTTAAGAATCGGATGAATATTGCCAGAGATATAGCATCCGAAACGTGCCATATTAGCAGATCCATGGATTTCTCCATTTTTCCAAGGGGGCCATAAGAAAAAATTGAAAAAAATCGAAAAAATATTTTTTGATCAGGTTTTGATGCAGATCGACGGCAAATCGATCCACAAATCTTTTAAGGTATTCCGTTTAAGAATCGGATGAATATTGCCAGAGATATAGCATCCGAAAGTTGTCATATTAGCAGATCCATGGATTTCTCCATTTTTCCAAGGGGGCCATAAGAAAAAATTGAAAAAAATCGAAAAAATATTTTGTGATCAGGTTTGGATGCAGATCGACGGCAAATCGATCCACAAATCTTTTAAGGTATTCCGTTTTAAAATCGGATGAATATTGCCAGAGATATAGCATCCGAAAGTTGTCATATTAGCAGATCCATGGATTTCTCCATTTTTCCAAGGGGGCCATAAGAAAAAATTGAAAAAAATCGAAAAAATATTTTGTGATCAGGTTTGGATGCAGATCGACGGCAAATCGATCCACAAATCTTTTAAGGTATTCCGTTTTAAAATCGGATGAATATTGCCAGAGATATAGCATCCGAAAGTTGTCATATTAGCAGATCCATGGATTTCTCCATTTTTCCAAGGGGGCCATAAGAAAAAATTGAAAAAAATCGAAAAAATATTTTGTGATCAGGTTTTGATGCAAATCGACGGCAAATTGATCCACAAATCTTTTAAGGTATTCCGTTTAAAAATCGGATAAATATTGCCAGAGATATAGCATCCGAAAGGTGCCTTATTAGCAGATCCATGGATTTCTCCATTTTTCCAAGGGGGCCATAAGAAAAAATTGAAAAAAATCGAAAAAATATTTTGTGATCAGGTTTGGATGCAGATCGACGGCAAATCGATCCACAAATCTTTTAAGGTATTCCGTTTTAAAATCGGATGAATATTGCCAGAGATATAGCATCCGAAAGTTGTCATATTAGCAGATCCATGGATTTCTCCATTTTTCCAAGGGGGCCATAAGAAAAAATTGAAAAAATCGAAAAAATATTTTGTGATCAGGTTTGGATGCAGATCGACGGCAAATCGATCCACAAATCTTTTAAGGTATTCCGTTTTAAAATCGGATGAATATTGCCAGAGACATAGCATCCGAAAGTTGTCATATTAGCAGATCCATGGATTTCTCCATTTTTCCAAGGGGGCCATAAGAAAAAATTGAAAAAAATCGAAAAAATATTTTGTGATCAGGTTTTGATGCAAATCGACGGCAAATCGATCCACAAATCTTTTAAGGTATTCCGTTTAAGAATCGGATGAATATTGCCAGAGATATAGCATCCGAAAGTTGTCATATTAGCAGATCCATGGATTTCTCCATTTTTCCAAGGGGGCCATAAGAAAAAATTGAAAAAATCGAAAAAATATTTTGTGATCAGGTTTGGATGCAGATCGACGGCAAATCGATCCACAAATCTTTTAAGGTATTCCGTTTTAAAATCGGATGAATATTGCCAGAGATATAGCATCCGAAAGTTGTCATATTAGCAGATCCATGGATTTCTCCATTTTTCCAAGGGGGCCATAAGAAAAAATTGAAAAAAATCGAAAAAATATTTTGTGATCAGGTTTGGATGCAGATCGACGGCAAATCGATCCACAAATCTTTTAAGGTATTCCGTTTTAAAATCGGATGAATATTGCCAGAGATATAGCATCCGAAAGTTGTCATATTAGCAGATCCATGGATTTCTCCATTTTTCCAAGGGGGCCATAAGAAAAAATTGAAAAAAATCGAAAAAATATTTTGTGATCAGGTTTTGATGCAAATCGACGGCAAATCGATCCACAAATCTTTTAAGGTATTCCGTTTTAAAATCGGATGAATATTGCCAGAGATATAGCATCCGAAAGTTGTCATATTAGCAGATCCATGGATTTCTCCATTTTTCCAAGGGGGCCATAAGAAAAAATTGAAAAAAATCGAAAAAATATTTTGTGATCAGGTTTTGATGCAAATCGACGGCAAATCGATCCACAAATCTTTTAAGGTATTCCGTTTAAGAATCGGATGAATATTGCCAGAGATATAGCATCCGAAAGTTGTCATATTAGCAGATCCATGGATTTCTCCATTTTTCCAAGGGGGCCATAAGAAAAAATTGAAAAAAATCGAAAAAATATTTTGTGATCAGGTTTGGATGCAGATCGACGGCAAATCGATCCACAAATCTTTTAAGGTATTCCGTTTTAAAATCGGATGAATATTGCCAGAGATATAGCATCCGAAAGTTGTCATATTAGCAGATCCATGGATTTCTCCATTTTTCCAAGGGGGCCATAAGAAAAAATTGAAAAAAATCGAAAAAATATTTTGTGATCAGGTTTGGATGCAGATCGACGGCAAATCGATCCACAAATCTTTTAAGGTATTCCGTTTTAAAATCGGATGAATATTGCCAGAGATATAGCATCCGAAAGTTGTCATATTAGCAGATCCATGGATTTCTCCATTTTTCCAAGGGGGCCATAAGAAAAAATTGAAAAAAATCGAAAAAATATTTTGTGATCAGGTTTTGATGCAAATCGACGGCAAATTGATCCACAAATCTTTTAAGGTATTCCGTTTAAAAATCGGATAAATATTGCCAGAGATATAGCATCCGAAAGGTGCCTTATTAGCAGATCCATGGATTTCTCCATTTTTCCAAGGGGGCCATAAGAAAAAATTGAAAAAAATCGAAAAAATATTTTGTGATCAGGTTTGGATGCAGATCGACGGCAAATCGATCCACAAATCTTTTAAGGTATTCCGTTTTAAAATCGGATGAATATTGCCAGAGATATAGCATCCGAAAGTTGTCATATTAGCAGATCCATGGATTTCTCCATTTTTCCAAGGGGGCCATAAGAAAAAATTGAAAAAAATCGAAAAAATATTTTGTGATCAGGTTTGGATGCAGATCGACGGCAAATCGATCCACAAATCTTTTAAGGTATTCCGTTTTAAAATCGGATGAATATTGCCAGAGATATAGCATCCGAAAGTTGTCATATTAGCAGATCCATGGATTTCTCCATTTTTCCAAGGGGGCCATAAGAAAAAATTGAAAAAAATCGAAAAAATATTTTGTGATCAGGTTTTGATGCAAATCGACGGCAAATCGATCCACAAATCTTTTAAGGTATTCCGTTTAAGAATCGGATGAATATTGCCAGAGATATAGCATCCGAAAGTTGTCATATTAGCAGATCCATGGATTTCTCCATTTTTCCAAGGGGGCCATAAGAAAAAATTGAAAAAAATCGAAAAAATATTTTGTGATCAGGTTTGGATGCAGATCGACGGCAAATCGATCCACAAATCTTTTAAGGTATTCCGTTTTAAAATCGGATGAATATTGCCAGAGATATAGCATCCGAAAGTTGTCATATTAGCAGATCCATGGATTTCTCCATTTTTCCAAGGGGGCCATAAGAAAAAATTGAAAAAAATCGAAAAAATATTTTGTGATCAGGTTTTGATGCAAATCGACGGCAAATTGATCCACAAATCTTTTAAGGTATTCCGTTTAAAAATCGGATAAATATTGCCAGAGATATAGCATCCGAAAGGTGCCTTATTAGCAGATCCATGGATTTCTCCATTTTTCCAAGGGGGCCATAAGAAAAAATTGAAAAAAATCGAAAAAATATTTTGTGATCAGGTTTTGATGCAGATCGATAGCAAATTGATCCACAAATCTTTTAAGGTATTCCGTTTAAAAATCGGATAAATATTGCCAGAGATATAGCATCCGAAAGGTGCCTTATTAGCAGATCCATGGATTTCTCCATTTTTCCAAGGGGGCCATAAGAAAAAATTGAAAAAAATCGAAAAAATATTTTGTGATCAGGTTTTGATGCAGATCGATAGCAAATTGATCCACAAATCTTTTAAGGTATTCCGTTTAAAAATCGGATAAATATTGCCAGAGATATAGCATCCGAAAGGTGCCTTATTAGCAGATCCATGGATTTCTCCATTTTTCCAAGGGGGCCATAAGAAAAAATTGAAAAAATCGAAAAAATATTTTGTGATCAGGTTTTGATGCAGATCGATAGCAAATTGATCCACAAATCTTTTAAGGTATTCCGTTTAAAAATCGGATAAATATTGCCAGAGATATAGCATCCGAAAGGTGCCTTATTAGCAGATCCATGGATTTCTCCATTTTTCCAAGGGGGCCATAAGAAAAAATTGAAAAAAATCGAAAAAATATTTTGTGATCAGGTTTGGATGCAGATCGACGGCAAATCGATCCACAAATCTTTTAAGGTATTCCGTTTTAAAATCGGATGAATATTGCCAGAGATATAGCATCCGAAAGTTGTCATATTAGCAGATCCATGGATTTCTCCATTTTTCCAAGGGGGCCATAAGAAAAAATTGAAAAAATCGAAAAAATATTTTGTGATCAGGTTTGGATGCAGATCGACGGCAAATCGATCCACAAATCTTTTAAGGTATTCCGTTTTAAAATCGGATGAATATTGCCAGAGATATAGCATCCGAAAGTTGTCATATTAGCAGATCCATGGATTTCTCCATTTTTCCAAGGGGGCCATAAGAAAAAATTGAAAAAAATCGAAAAAATATTTTGTGATCAGGTTTTGATGCAGATCGACGGCAAATCGATCCACAAATCTTTTAAGGTATTCCGTTTAAAAATCAGATGAATATTGCCAGAGATATAGCATCCGAAAGTTGTCATATTAGCAGATCCATGGATTTCTCCATTTTTCCAAGGGGGCCATAAGAAAAAATTGAAAAAAATCGAAAAAATATTTTGTGATCAGGTTTGGATGCAGATCGACGGCAAATCGATCCACAAATCTTTTAAGGTATTCCGTTTTAAAATCGGATGAATATTGCCAGAGATATAGCATCCGAAAGTTGTCATATTAGCAGATCCATGGATTTCTCCATTTTTCCAAGGGGGCCATAAGAAAAAATTGAAAAAAATCGAAAAAATATTTTGTGATCAGGTTTGGATGCAGATCGACGGCAAATCGATCCACAAATCTTTTAAGGTATTCCGTTTAAGAATCGGATGAATATTGCCAGAGATATAGCATCCGAAAGTTGTCATATTAGCAGATCCATGGATTTCTCCATTTTTCCAAGGGGGCCATAAGAAAAAATTGAAAAAAATCGAAAAAAATATTTTGTGATCAGGTTTTGATGCAGATCGACGGCAAATCGATCCACAAATCTTTTAAGGTATTCCGTTTAAAAATCAGATGAATATTGCCAGAGATATAGCATCCGAAAGTGCCGTATTACCAGATCCCAATAGAAAAAAAATATTTATTATTTTTTTAATTATATATATTTATTATTTAATTAAGAGGAAATAATAAATTTAAATAATTAATAAATAAATGTTAATAACATTATGCTATCGACTAGTGCCCATCCCCAGCGAACACATATTTAATCGTTTTCCAACACTTAACACAAAAGACGCATTTTTTCATTTTTAGCGAGGAAAAATCGAATTTATTGCTAATTTAACCGCAATCCTTGCGGTCCCAAACACCCCACACCATGCTTTACCTTGAGGACTACTTGGAAATGATCGAGCACCTCCCACAGGAGCTGCGCGATCGTTTTACGGAGATGCGCGAACTTGATCTCGCCGTGCAAAGTGAGTAGATGTCTCACATTGCTAGTGGAATTTGTATTAAAACAATACAAATTGAAATTTAAATCCCCTGACAGACAACATGGACTCACTGGACAAGAAGGCACACCTGTTCTTTAAGCAGTGCAAGCGTGACGAACTGCAGCACGAGTCCATGGACACGGAGTTCCACAGCCTCCGCGGCGAGTACTACAAAGTGATGGAAGATGCCGACGAGAAGGTGGCCATTGCCACTCAGATCCATGAGCTAGTGGAGCGCTACCTTCGCCGCCTGGACAGCGAGCTCTTCAAGTTCAAATGCGAGCTAGAGGCGGATAACAACGGCATCACCGAGATTCTGGAACGCCGTTCTTTAGAGCTTGACGGCAACTCAACTGCGGCCACCGCCCTGCTCATGAGCATGAACCAAAAGGAGAACCGTTACTATGGCGCCAGCACGGCCAATAGTCTGGTCAACAATGTATCAGGTTCCACCAGCTCAGGTGCAGGCTCAGGTTCCATGGGCATTTCCAGCGGTTCAGGCGGTGGCGGCGGATCGGGTAGCACCCTTTCGGGCAACGCCCTTTCCAACCTCTCTGCTGCCCAACTCAGTGCCAGTCAACGTCACCGCAAACTGGAGAAACGTCGTGAAACGATCTGCACGGTTCCTGTCCAGGAGAAGCGTGCCAATCTTAATCACTCTCTGCCTGCAGTGGCCTCCGGCTCCAATTCGGGTTCCGCCACTAATGTTGGAGCCGTGGTTCCTACAGCCGTTTCCGCCGGTCTGGCCACTGTCTCACCTGCTCAAACACAAGCTCAAGGAAGCAACCACATAACTGCCACACATCTCACATTGCCGGTGGCTGTTGGAGTGAGTGTGGGCGTTGCCGCCGCAGGAACCAACCTGACAACTGCTTCCCTGGCTGGATCTTCAGGCTCGGTGGTCCGTCAATTGCCCGCGAATTTGGCGCACACTGTCCTCACCGCTGGAGGAGGTGGCGCAGCAACAACAACGGGAGCTGGAGGTGCTACAGTGACACCATTGGCCACGGCTGGAGGCTCCCATGGTCATGGAGGCCATGCAACTGCCGGCGCCACGGTAACCTATCTGCAGCAGCTGGGCGTAGGTGCCTCAGCTACCAGTGCCATAGCAGCGGCGGCCAGTCAGGCCATTGTGGCCACCAAGCAGATGCAGCAGGGCCGCAGAACGGCGAGTCTGAATGCCAGCTACGAAGCCAGCCTGAAAGCCAACTATGAGGTAGCCCTGCACGAAGCAGCCGGCACCACGGCCGAGTTATGGACACAGGCGGGTCAGGGAGGTCTCCAGACGGCTGGCGGAGGAACTGCATCGGTGGCTGGGGGAGCAACTCTCACAACCGGTGTGTCTGCCTCTGGCGGCACTGGCTCGCATCACTCCCACCACTCTCAAACGCATCACAGCAGCCACGGCCATGGCCATGGACACGGTCACGGCCACGGACATGGACACCATCACAGTAGCAGCAGCCACGGCAGTCACCATCAGGAGAAGAACCACAAAAAGAAGAAGATTGCCACCACACAGCTGGCTATACCCTCGACTCTGGCAGTGCAGGCACTGGGCGGCTCTTCCTCGGGCAATTCCATAGCCTCTTCCACCTCTTCGATGAGCGTGGATTCGGTGGAGATGCTGAACTCGGCGGCGGCTGCAGCGGCCAATTCGAGTCTAGCCGGAAATACACTAGCGCACGGATCGCTGACACTGGGAGCCGGTGGAGCTGGTACCCTGACCGGAGCTGGCTCCAATACTGGAGGCATCGCAGGAACTGGTGCCGGAAGTGGCATGGCCGGAGCAGGTGCTGGAGGCATTGGTGTACCAGGCTCTGGGGTATCGGGCATGAATCATCCCACCGGCAGCAGCATGAACCCCGGCTCTAGCCTCACTATCGGCGAAAACGGACTCGTGGTGGAGCAGAGCAACGAGGGTGAGTGGTCCTATGATCCCAACGAGCCACGTTATTGCACCTGCAACCAGGTGTCCTATGGCGACATGGTGGCCTGTGACAACGACGCCTGTCCCTACGAGTGGTTCCATTATCCTTGCGTGGGAATTACCCAGCCGCCGAAGGGCAAGTGGTACTGTCCCAAGTGTACCGCCTCCATGCGGCGTCGCGGAAATCGAAAGAACTGAGGCTGACACCGCCTGCTGGCGCCCCTCTTCCGAGGCGGAGGGCGTGGCGGAGGCGGGCACACATCCGGAGGAGGGAGCGCGACGGGAGTTGGAAGTGCAGGGGGTACTGGCACTTGGGGACGTCGCTAGACCAGAGCGCTGGGCGGAATTCCAAATGTATATGCTTATATGTTCACACAAAAGCTACCAACAGAAACTATAAAATAAATTAAGGTCAGCAAGGGAGTTGAAAAAAAAAATATGTTTTAATATTTGATAAATATAACTGAGAAAATAAATTAAATTAAAATTTTAAATTTAATTGAACGTTTGGGTATCGATAGTTATCGATGCCAGTGCTACCACACCCGAAAAATACCACCGTGATAGAGATGGCACTTACGATAGCTATGCACTCGGTGCAATCGTGTGTGCATACGTGCATTGGTGTGCGTGTGTCTGCTGTAGATAAATCGGGAAAGAAAAGAAAATTCACGACGCAGCGTCATTTCTGCAGAACAATAGGTAAACAATAAACAGTAAACAAACGGCCTCAAGATTGGCAAGATACGCAGGAACAAGAGGATGAGCTACAACGACAAATCGGAAGCCATCAGCAAGGAGGAGTGGCTGGCTCGGTTGGAGCAGTTTCCTTTCAAGCAGGCAGACATGAATCGCCTTATAATGAACTACTTGGTGACGGGTAAGGTTTTTTTTTTCTTTATACTCGTGCTGAAATCGCTGAGTAATCCTTTGTATTTTCACGTCCAGAGGGCTTTAAGGAGGCCGCCGAAAAGTTCCAGCATGAAGCAGATTTGGAACCCAGTGTGGAATTGAGTAGTCTGGACGATCGCATTCTCATCCGTGAGGCTGTGCAGGCGGGACGCATCGAGGAGGCCACCCAACTGGTGAATCAACTGCATCCGGAGCTGTTGGGCAGCGACCGGTACCTGTTCTTCCATCTGCAGCAGCTGCAGCTAATCGAGCTCATCCGCGCCGGCAAGGTGGAGGAGGCCCTAGCCTTCGCCCAGAGCAAGCTGTCCGAGAGCGGGGAGGAGGCCATGTTCGAGCTGGAGCGAACCCTGGCCCTGCTCGCCTTCGAGAAGCCTCAGGAGAGCCCTTTCGCCGACCTGTTGGAGCAGTCGTACCGACAGAAGATCGCTAGTGAGCTGAACTCGGCCATACTGCGTTGCGAGCACAGCGAGGATTCCACTCCCAAGATGATGTTCCTGCTCAAGGTAATACTCTGGGCCCAGTCCACACTCGACAGCCGTTCGATCAACTACCCCAAGATGAAGAACCTGGAGACGGCGCATCTCGACCAAAAGTAACCTGGAAATAGCTGTCTGGGCAAGAGATGGAGATGATGAAGTGCCGGAGCAGGAGCATCCCATTAAACATCTTTTGCTTTTTGCTATTGAATCTTTTTTTAATAAGTAATGTATGAATGCTGGATAGGATGTACGCAGTGATTATTAAATAAGTAGCCGGAAAAAGCCTGAGTTGCATTCAATCACCAACCGAAAATGAGGCCCATGGCCTTGTCCATTATACCGGAACTCTTCTGGGGCACATCTCTTGACGGCGAAATGGTGCTCTCATTTTGGGCTATTTTGTAGCCCTGTTGGGCAAACGGACGAATTTTGGGTGTGCTGGGAGCACCAGATATGGGTTCCGAATTGGCAAACGAACTGCTGTTCTCCTTGTCGATCACCGAGCGATCTGAACAGCGTGTAACGCCCACCATAACGTTTCCGGCTATCACCTTGTGATTGTAGTTGAGCGCCTTGTCGCTCTCGATGCGCGAGGAAAAGCGTACATGCATCCAGTTGCCGTTCTGGGGAGCGTAGACAACGTCCACAATGGTGCCACATAGTGTGAAGTGCTGCAGGACCATGGAGCTTGCACCCGGTGCAAAGCCAAAGATGGTTACCCAGAAGGCAGCTGCTAGGTCAGCTCCTGTGGGTCCTGGAGTGGCAACTAATCCTGGTCCTGGCGAGGCAGTGGCTCCCAGCGGGGAGTATAGCGCCCTCATAGAGGCGCTGACGGCATTGGGAGCACCGGGCGCGAACGAGTCGTTGGCCTGATAACTCTGATAGCTCTGATTTGGTCCCATACTCTGGTTGGGTGACTGCAGGTTCAGCAGACTCAAGTGATTGCGCTGTGGCGTGGAAGCAGTGTTCTCGCGCAGGGAATCGAACAGACCCTGGGTTGGCGGCCCCGCCTGATGGCCGTGAGTGTGGGCATGGCTAGCAGCAGCCAAGGAAGTATTGCTACTGACAGCAGCAGCAGAAGCATTTGGACCTCCGCCGGACCCGAAAAGAGTACGGTTATTGTAGGTGGATCGGTTGAAGTCTTGGGAGTTGCTGCCACCAGGTGATGTGGCTGTGGATTTATGAGATTTAGAATCACCTCCTGACCAGATTGTGCAATCTCAAGAACGTAGACTTACCGAAACTCACGTTATAGCGTCCCGGCTTCGGGGAGAGCGTGTTCTTGTGAGGCGTCATGTTTTGTGGATCACCCATGAGGAAGGGCGGCAGGTACTGGTTCTGGTTGGATCCGGGGCTGTTCGCAGGGCTTCCCAGAGTCATCGGCTCCATGGCTCAGGCAAATTGAAACTTTTAACGTTAACAGCAACAAAGAAAAAACCACAAATAATAAAAACGTTGAATTCAATTCTTTAGAGCAGCTAGTGATGGCACAAACGCTCGTTTTGGATGATGGCGCTCTATAGTCACTTATTTATGGGAGATTTTTTTTTTTGTAAAATTTGTAGATGTTACTCGAAAGGAAACTTAAATATATTTTAAAGAGAGCTCAAGGCATAAAAATGTATTGGGTAAACATATCTTTTAAATTATTTGTATTTCTGGCTACTAAGTTTGATAGTAACTACCGGACATCGATATTTTCAACAGTTCGATAGTAAAATGCATCGATATTTATCAGTGGCATAGTATCGATATGGGAGCCCCCAAACAGCTAAAAAACACATCTATAGTCTGGAATTCAAGCACTCTTTGGACACCAAATCGGTCGGTTCGCGACTCTCTGCGCTCCTTTCTTCTTTTTTTTTACAATACGACTATACGACTATTTCGTTTCCCTACAATTCGTGGCGCGCGTGACCAGAAGCAACAAAATACGGCCTAAGTGCGGTGTGACAGGCGGCAATAAATATTGATGTGACATACAAAAGCGAAAGCTGCCAAACAAACACACACACATTTTAAAAGCAGCTAGGGACGCAAGCGGTCAACAGGAGACAGCCAGGCGCTACACACCGAGAGAGAGAGAGTGTGGAGAGAGAGAGCGAAGCAAGGACCTTCGCATCCAGAGAGAGAGAGTGACAGGCGATCAACAACAAACGGGATACAGGGTGTCATGTGGAGTCCGACGCACTGCAATGTAACGGGTAAGTTGTGGGGGGGGACCCCAATTCCACAATCCAGAGACAGACACCCGTTAACGTTAGCAAGATCTCTTTTTGGCTTCTGGTGGTGGTGCTGCGGTCGTTTAGCCGCCTGCCTGCCTCTCTTCGCTATGGCAAATAAATCGCATTAAAAATTAAACTCGTTTTCCGTGTGTGCCTGTGTTTGTGGGTATATATTTGTGCATTTCATTGCTGGTCTTTGGTCTCTGGTCTCTGTATCTGTATCTGTATCTGTATCTGTATCTGGCGGTGTTGTGTGTGCTTAAAATATTGTCATGACAGAGGCAACAGTTAAGTCGTTTGTTATTGTTGTTGTTTCTGTTGGAAGAAATACCTCCTCTACCTATATACCTATGTATACCCCCGCCAACATCTTATTTGGGAGTTTCACTTTCTCCCCCTTTGCGCTTTCTCCCTCCCCTCCTTCTTAATCATTTCTCTCTTTTTCTCTGGCACTTGGTATTTCTGTGATTGCTATTGCTCCTATCGGACCCAGGCCAGGCCAGGCTATATAGTTGATAAGATAACTTGAGGTATGGAGTGTATGCGGTTACTCAGCGCTAGAAATATTCCTCCACCTGTAAGCCTACCACCCCCCCATCTCCTCCCCCAACACACACACACACTCTCCATATGATTCGCATTCTTGTTTACGTTTCCATTGTGATTTTCAGGGCTGAATGTCAATGAGAAAATCACAAAAATCACTTCCAAGCTATATATGTTCGTGACAGAAACACAAAGAATTCTCTCATCCATTGGGCTCTCCCAGGTAGTGCCAGCCAGCTAGTGCAATTATGAAAACAAATATCGAGTAATTAACTACAAGTACACGCTGCTCACTGAGGTGTGTGTGTGTGTGTGTGTATATATCAGTGTATCTGTGCGATTTAATGGCCATAATGAGTCACAAAAATGTTGCCAAAAGCTCTGTCCCGGAATGCAGAATCAAGAAGATAAACACGGGCTTTTTGGCTTCTAGATATTGTATCTAGAGATACACCTTGAACTTGCCCGGCAATCAGAGATTCGCTCTCTCTATCTTTCTCTCTAGATCTTGCTATATATTTTTTTTTGAATATTTATTTTGTCAGAATGTTGTTTTATTAAGCCGCTGACGTCACAGCGAAGAGCAAACAAATCATCGGTAGTCTACTACCCATTTCACTGTCCAAGGGCGTGGGCTTAAAAGGGGGTGAGGGGTTTAGCTCTATAACTTAAGAACCTTTATTGCAAGATTGGTAAATTTTCTTTTAAAAGTTGACTGCCATTTCTTTCTTCCCTTTGATTTGAAAGCTAAACCCCCCCTTGGACTACGTCCTTTCTTGTGCCAATATTTGCCTTCAACCGTCTGATGAGCGCACGCCTCAGGTCTCTGGTTGCCGAAACAGCTGTTTTTCCTCCAGCCTGAGACTCAAGCTTCAAGCTGCCTGCTGTTCTTCGGAATGGGCTTAAGGCCAGGCCCTGTATTAGATCATCCGCAGAGCACCCACCCACCCTAGAAAACACCTGGGTTACCACCACCCCACCCCACCCTTAGTTAGTAAGTTTCCGCGACTCCTTATCGACAACTCCCCACCCACCCATCGTTCTTCATTGCGTGCTTTATTTTTAGCCTTAAATTCTTACACACACACCTACACACACACACTAACTAACACTCACTAGGCAGCACTCACCTGGAAATTCCACGGCGGGAAATTGTGCAATGCGCTGCGGGCAGCCAAGCCAGGCCAAAAAAAAAAAAAAAAAAAAAACAAACAATCGGCAATATGTACCTTCTGTTTTTGGATTTTTGGTTTTTGCTTTTGCAACACACTCTTTGGGGAGCTTGCAACGTGAAAGATAGGAAAAGAAGAAGAGTTGAGGTGGCCAACGCCTTCGTTCTGCCACTACAGTAGATACTCGATAGAGGGATAGTGCTCCATCACTGGCTGGTACCAGTTACCAGAAACTGTTCTGAAGTACTGAAGTTTCTAGTTAATATAATCATTTGGTTCTTAAGAATTGCTTTATAAAATATATAAATACATATGTGTACGTATGTCTGTTTGTATGTATGTATATATATTTTCTTGTATTTATAAACAATTTAATCTCAACACTTGTTTTCTACAAAAAAAAATGCCCATTTTGATTTACTTCTTAGGAATTTAATCGAGATCTGCAGATGTTTTTTTTTTTTTCATTTTTCTTGAAAACTCTATAAGGGCTGTAGGTTTATGAAAGCAATATGGTGGCTAGTCTTTAGTAGAATCTTAAAATAAACCAGAGTTTTAATAGAATTTCCAAGTATAGTGGTTATACTTGGTACTACAAGCTCTATACAGACTAGCCATATGGTATAATATAACAAAAAACCAGAGTTTCAATAGAAATTTTGAGATATATAGCGTGATATGGTATATTCCTTATATGTATATTAAAAGATATGAGATCTAGAGATCCTTTCTTTACTTTTCCTTGAAAACCCTATATAAGGGCTGTAGGTTTATAAATACAATGTGATAGGCTTCTCAGTAGAAAATCTTAAACTTAAACTTAACTTAATCTTAACCTTAACCAGAGCTTTAATAGTGCCTACACTTAATACCATAAACCTTATACATATATAATCTATATAGTATTATTTAAAAAAAAAACAGAGTTTTAATAGAATTTTTTAGTTTTGATTAGGTATAGTCCATATCTATAAAAACGCCTAAAGAAAACGAGGCCTTAATAGAATATTTCAGGGTATTTCAAGAAGTTTTTATAAAAATAAAAGTATCTATAAGAAAACCCATAATAATATCTAGAAGATGTATAGTTTTCTGAGATACAAAGACTCTATCTTTAGGGTTCTATTGCTAATTTTAAAGCAAAACCCTAAAACACACTGTCTAGGCCCGTATCTCTAGCACTTCCTGACGATCAAGTGGCTTGTGATAGAGAAGTTTGGCCAAGATAAGGCCTGTTACTTGAGATAGGTGCCTGCCTCCCACTACCTCCCACTTTTTTTGTCTTCCCCCCCTCTATTGACCCTCTCTCTCTATCTCTCCCGAACCGTTTTAATGCGGCGCTGTCGATGCACTTATGCGAAACAGTTACGTTCCATTGCCCGACCCATTTAGCCATGTTTTCTTCTTGGCTCCCAACAGAAGAGATGGAGAGGGGTGTGGTGGAGGGTAACAGAACAGAAATGAAGCAAATCGGTTGAAAAAAAAAAGAAGAAAAAACAGGTCTAACTCTCCAGCTCCAGCTATGATTGTGGTGGTTTGGGGATCTTGGTTCGGTTCGGTCTGGCAATTGATTATTTTCCAGTTCCAGTTCTTGGCCTCATCTGGCAGGCATTGCATTGCATATTCATAGGATACATGTGGTATGTGGCATGTGGTATGGTATATGTACATGCAACTCCCTCGCTTTGGGGAAAAAAAAAGATGTGTCTGTTTTTCATTTTCCATTTTCCATTTCAAAATCGCACGGCCTAATGGGTTCAATGCTTGCTTATGCATAAGTTTATACCATCCTATACCATACCATATCATGCCTTATAGCATACTATAACTATAAAAAACGATTCGCTGTGGGAGAAATGCCATATGTATACATTGATAGACCGTTTACTTTGATCGCCGCACTCGCCATGTTTCGCATTTTCGCACGATCCGTAAATTGCAGCTGGCAACAGTCAGCCAGCAACTAGCAACTTGCAACTTGCAACATTAATTGTAATTTAATGCTTTTCATCGAACGGGAATACCACTAGAGCTGCCTGCCTACCAGCCTCTCGGAGATTGCCACATCGAGGCACGTGCCGATCGCTGACTTTCCCACTGAACTCTTGAACTTTAAACTCTGCCTCTCTGTTGCAACATTGATTTAACATTTTTTTGGGGGAAAACTTTCAAAGAGTAAAAGCCCCCAAAAAATGAGACCAGAGACAGAGCTGGAGTGGAGTAAGTGCCTCATTAGCATGCGTGGTTGGATGCCCCCCGAAGGAGCAATGGCCTCGGGAGACGCATTCTTATTATAGTAGTGTCTGGTGATGGTGATGGTGATGGTAGTACTGCCACGCCCACAACCAGAAAAAGTGGAACATGAAAACAACAAAAAAAAGTCTCTAAAAAAGTGCGTGATGGGAATTTAAGTTTGTGCCTTCCATCCCATCATTATAAACTGGCTTTTGAGAAGAAAGAAGAGAAGAGAGATAGTACCCCTTTCTTTGGTCAATTTTCTTCATTTTGGTGGCAGGCTGGCAGGCAGGCAGGTGGTGGTGCAACAAGTGCACCTCAGAAACCAGACCAGAAACCACAACAACAGCAACCGGCTAGTAACCAGCCACTTGGAGAAATGATTTCATTGAAATTAATTAACCCAAAAGTTGACCTCTCTACGAATACTAGCCACCAACCAGCCCAGAGGTCAACCAAATGCGACACCAGTTGTCGATTATTGTTGGTATATTTCCCATTGTTGGCCCCTCGGGGGGTCACAAATAGGTGCAGCCATTGTGGGCTGTGTGTGGATTGAGAGGCTTTTAGTTATAATTGGACACTCAAGTGGGGGAGGAAGTGCAATCTAAATCAAGAAATGGGCTATAACTGAGGTCAGTGGGTTGTTTTTTTAGCTTTTCAGATTAATCGGTTGATTTTAGAGGGTTATCGTTGATCGATTTCCGGTATTTTTTAACCAAAACTAAGCTAGGCCTCTAAAGAAAATTATTATTCTAATTATTATAAATTAAATTATTATAATTTTTAAGGCCTGATAAGCGGGCACCTGGGTTTTTATCGCTATAAAAATCTATAAATTTTTATTTATTTTAATGCAATTTTTCTATTTTTGAAATAATAATATTTAGGCTAAAAAAGTTTAAAAAAAATTTTTACAAAATAAATCAATAATAAAAATAATAAATTATTATTAAAATTTTTTATTAAAAAAACAGCGCCCTCCTCCTCGATTCTCATAAGTAGCACTTAATCAAAGCCAGAAATATGTAAAAAACATGTAAAATACTAAAAAAAAAATGTAAAATACTAAAAGATAAATAAATACTAAATATACTCAAAAATACTAAATATAGTCCAAAATACTAAAAAATACTCTTAATACCAAATAAATTTTAAAATACTAAAAAATATAGAAAAATACCAAAAAACTATTGAAAATTCTAAAAAAATTTAAATTTTTAAAACAATTTATAACAAAGTTCTAAAACTGAATAATATTTTTTATCGAAAAAGTACCAAGTACACTTCATTAATATCAAATAAATCAAGAAGATCACTATAACTCATAATCCGATTTTTATCTTAAATCCATACCCAAAAGGAACCTAAATAAATCTTTTTTGGCAACTTAAAATTCGATTTCTATGGCAATTCAATATCGAATATCCAATAGCCAATATCCAGTGAAAATTCCCTATGAAAATATCAGACAAGTTTTCCTTCTGGTCTGGCGCTGCTTGGCCATTTTTCCTATATATAATTAATTTACAAAAATTAAAAAATTTATTGCGAAAGAAAGAAAGAAAGAAAATAAAGAAAAATGGAAATTAATTTCAATTTTAAGATGATAACCAGGCGCCTGAGTTCTTATCGCTTATTTGGAATAATCATCTGATCTTAAGGGGTTATCGTTTATAATCGATTATATATTATGGAAGAGGAAATCAACTAGAATCCGAGTCTAAAGATGTGAACAGAGGCTTTATTATGTATTTCAGGCTTTTAAGGCAATATTATTTATGAATCATAAACCTGAGTAGCTAAACGATTGTTTTTTCTACGAAATAATAATGATGTTTAAGATCTAACAAGTCTATTATTTAAATATAGTATTTTATTAAGAAAGTAATGATTTCCAGAACCTTATAGTTAAGATCTTGAAAAATCGCTTTACAAAATTTCTCTTTTTTGGTCATCGAAGGCGAAACCGTTATTTGGTGTATGTCTTGGCCTTTTTTTTTTTTTATTTGGGCCAACTGAGACTCGGAAACGAAACAAGACAATGACATGACCGATGGATGACTCATCTGGCTCACCTGCTGGCGATGGAGTTTCTAGTACATGAGTAACCAATGTGCCAATGTTTTATTTGTTTATTATTATTTTTTGTTATAAAAAAAAGATAACACCAAAACATACTCATCCGATCAGACAGGCACCAGGGTCCCCTCCACACCTCTTAAGCACGTGCTTGTAATAGAAGGAAAAAGTATAAGGCTTCTGTTTTTTTTTTTTTTTTGGCAGTGATTCCGATCGTCTCTCCTAACAAAATTGAAAATAAACCAACAGTGGGCTGGTTAGATTAGAGAGATTTTATTGAGATTTTTTGTCTAATTTGGCCCACTGTAGCACTGCGGCTGAGAGGCGGTTATAAAAGCGGACCAACTTAACGGTTTCACTCTGGCATTGTTTTTGGCGCTCTTAGCCATGTCTTCTACCACTTTTGCCATTTAGCATTTGGCATTTCTATTTTGGGGGGCGACCCTCCATGCAAAAAAAAAATACTTGCCTAATCGAGAAATATTTATAAAAAAAAAAAAGAAAAATAAAAAATAAATGCCGGTGAGTCCATCGATCTTTGGAAGATGGATCGGATCTGCATGTCTGGCAACCACTCGTTCGGAAGGCCATTCATCTTCCCAAGCCATTAGGCTTTTGTGGAGTGAAGAAAAGCAGAAAAGTTTAAAGAAAAGCAAGATGAGCATCTGGATTATCGATATTGACCGCTGTCTTTAGCCTCAATTATGGTAGAAAAGATGGCTAAAAAAAAAAAAACAAACGGCAAACTTACCAAATTGGCTTACTGCTGGAATGGCTGGAATACAGCGGGAAAAACTGTTAATGCGATAATAATAATGGGCCAACAAAATGCAAAAATAGTTATATGATTTTTTTTTTGTCTTTTCCGATGGGGCTTTCCCGCTTTTCTTTTGGCCACATTTTCCACTCATCTTCTTGCGCCTCTTTCGTTGACATGTTTTTCACTTTTCAAATACCTTTTTTTTTTATTTTTGCCCAGTAATTACTTTTGCCTCAGTTGGTTTTTTTTATTTTTATTTTTTTTTGTTTTTTAGTTATGAAATTACTTTTTTTTTGCGCAAAACTATAAAGAGAAATATTTATTTTGTAATATATATATTTAAACAAAAAAAGGGAGAAACTTTAGCAATAATAATATTTTCAACAAAAAGACAAAAATATATGTATACTAAACTAAAGCGGATAATACAAAAGCCTAATATATCCAAAAGGGCTGCAAATGAAGGATAATCTTGTAAGGATAATTAGGATAATTATTGAAAAAATCCAAGATATTCCTACTTTTAGTATTTTATTTTGTTTTAAAAAAAATCGCGGGTAGTTTAGCGTGGGGGAGTGGTATTATTAAATATTGTTATCATTAGAAAATATATATTTACATGCCATTAATAAAGAATAATTAAAATTAATAATAAAATAAAGTATCTACATACATACCCCATTGGTGTAATGAACTCAAGGGGAGAGAGAGAGGAGATCCCAAAATAGATATATCCCATATGCCCGGGTTTCTGGTAATGACTTAATTTTCTGTCACCCAACTCTTGTTCGTTTTTCGTTTCAATTTCCATTTCCGGCAGATGTACTTCCCAAAAACAGTCGTATGATTCCGGCTCCCCAAAAACTTCTCCCTAAAAACAGAAAAATAAAACCCGAAACCGAAAATAAAATCGAATCTAAGGCGCAGTGATTCACATCCCAAATACACAAATTTTTTGCGGGGAGATTGTGGAGCAAAATTTCAAGTTTCACTCGAATGCCTCGTGACCTCGAGGCCGACAAAATGAAAAAAAAAATAAAGGCATCCGGCAGATATGAGAAAGCACCACCGAAAACCACCAACCACGCAAACCGCACGCCTCACAGGCACATCCACACCACGAATGCCAATGTTAAAGTCTTAAATCCAAAGACTCCCAGCCCAGATCCAAATCCAAGACCCAATCCCAGCATTGTTTTTAGTCATCCGCCTCCATCCTCCAGATACATTTATGTATGGACTTTCCAGATCTCTTCAAAAATGTATTCAGTTCAGGGTCTGTAAGATATTCCACCGAGAGATAGGGGTACTTGAAATGTGGGAAAGGGTATATAAAGTATATTTAGTATATTATCTCTATCTAGGAATAGCGCCCTTCTCCACGCTTCTCATAAAGTCCAGCTAACAAATCAGAGACTTAAAAAATTTATAATTAACTTTAATGAATGAATTTCTCTATTTTTAGTGCTGCGAGCGCGTGGACTGCAAACCAAGGGCAAGAATGGCACCAACAACTGCTTCGTCACCATTGCCCTGGGCAAGGAGAAGTACCAGACCTCGGTCAAGGACAAGTCCGAGCCGAGTGTCAACTGGAACGAGGAGTGCGAGCTGTAAGTATCTTTCAAATATCCCCTAAGGTCATCCTCCTAAGACTATATATCGTTTTTTTTTGTAGAAAAATTCCTGATCAGGGCAACCGGGCTGAACTCACCCTGACCTGCCTGCACAGGAATAACCTGAGTTTGGATGAGTTCCTTGGCCAGGTGACGTTGCCCCTCAACGAGATGGATGTTTATGATCGGCCCAGGGCCAAGTGGTTCAAGCTGGAGAGCAAGCCCGGCAAGGAGAAGAAGAACAAGGAACGCGGCGAACTGGAGGTGCGCATCGCCTTTGTGGTCAAGTCCGGATCGCTGACCGATCTCAGCAAGAAGGACAAGCACAAGTCTTCCATCGGCCAGCTGGCCAGCTCCGTGGGCGGCAGCCTGCTGTCGATCGGCAATGGAGAGAAGCGCCGGAGCATCAAGAAGCTGGCTGGGTCGCTCAGCTCCAAATTGCACATCCGCAGCAAGAAGAAGCAGGAGGCGGGCGGCGATGACAGTAGCTCGTTTGGTGGCTCCTTTGCCAGCCTGGGCACGCCCAACAGCTCGACGGGAAGGGGCCAGAACGGTGGCAGTGGACGGCGACGCGGTGGGCAGCGGGCGGGCGAGGCCGATCCGGGTGTGATAAGCGAGGACGAGGACGAGTTTGTGTTCGACAATCTATCGCACAAGAGCTCCGGCAGTTCGCTGAACATCCAGAGATCGGGACTGCAGCCACCGGCGGCCGGTACGCCCAACTTCGCCCCGCGGCATCCGTCACCCTTGCTGAACAACAACAACGGCGTGAGCGGCGTGGGGGCCAAAGGTAAGCCAGCGGGTAGGCCAGCAACGCTCGATGAGGATATGCCCATCGACGCGGAGATGGAACAGCTTGAGCTCGATTTCAGTGTCCGTGCCCATGCTCGTGCGAATTCCAGCGCAGTCGGTGGTGGTGGTGCTGGAGGTGGAGGAGGAGTCGGAGGCGTCAGTACACTGCCTCCATCGAAGCCGCCGCGTATTCCGGAGCAACTGGAGAGGGAACGGGAGCGTGAACGGGAAAAGGAACTGGAACAGGAACGGGAACGAGAACAGAAGCTGGAGCAGGAGCGCAAGAAGCAACAAGAGCTGGACGCCACCACGGATGAGTGGGCCACCAAGCTGTATGGCGGCAGCAAGTTCCTGGAGATTGGAACCAGTGATTCCCTGAAGCGACGCAGCTGGGAGGCGCGTGTGCCGATCCCCGCCAGCACTGACGAGCCGCCGCCAGTGCCCACATCCAGCAGCTCGTCGTCTAGTTGGAGCTCGGAAAGCGACGAAGAGGAGCCAGTGGTGGTAGCTAAGCCACCTCCTGCCCCAAAGGCAGCCCCACCACCATCCCAAACCGAGACCCTAATCCCTCCTCCAGTGGTGCCTGCTCCTGTGGTGTCCACACCAAAAGTGCCCACTCCCGTGGTGCCTACTCCTTCTCTTGGAATGGGCACTCCACTGGCCTCCTCTTCGTCCCTTTTCTCGCCCGAGGTGGAGCATCGCAACTTTGACACCTTCAACGCTAGCTTCGCCAAGTTTGAGCAGCGAAACAGCACTGCTATCTTTGCGGACGAACCGGAGCTGGAGGACCTGGAGCCAGAGCCGGAGCGGAAGGCGCCCACGCCCACAGCCCGTCCCAAGCCCCAGCCCAGGGTGCTGATCGATCCCCGGGCGGAGGAGGAGAAGGAGAAGGCCAGACAGCAGCGGGCCGAGGAGGATGCCCGCCTGGAGGCGGAGCTGCGCCTGAACGAGCAGCGTCTGCGCGAAGAGGAGGCTGCCCTGCAGCGTGAACTGGAAGAGGAGGAGGCGGAACGGGAGCGGGAGCGAGTGCGAGACCTCGAACGCCAGAAGCTGGAGGAGCAGCGCCGCCGCGAGGCCAAGCGCTGGGAGGAGGATCAGCGTCTGCTGAGCTTCGCCAAACGCTCCACATCGCTGGAAGAGCCAGTTGGCACCAAAATCATAGTACCCGTGGACCCAGAGGCCGAGATTGATGTGGATATAGAGCTAGATGTGGAGCCGGAACACAATTTCCTGACGCCCGAACAGTCGCCCAAGGAATTCCAGACGAATGGCGGTGAGAAGCGGCTGGGCAAGTTCAAGTATGGGAACAAGCGAGGTGAGCTGACCGAACCCTGACCGAAACATCCAACCAACATCCAACCAATACTCTCCCGGCCGAAGCTGGCGGATCGCAGGGCATTGCACGCGGAATTTGAAAAACGAGTCCTCCAAAGTTCCAAACAAATCTGTTGCGTCATGTGGCACTACCTATTATCCTTATAGATATCCTTAGATCCTTTATTTTTATTTTCTTTCTACCATTGTTGTGTTTTTGTTTCCGTTGTGATTTTTTGCATCCGCCAGTGATATTCTTTTTTTTTTTTTAATTCATATACATTTCATATATTTCTTAAAGACTTTCTTAAATAAATTGTTTTTTTTTTTTTAATTTTTAGATAAATATAATAATGAGAATGATAGCAACTCGCCCAGTCCCAAGGCCACCGAAAGGATCATCATTGGCCACGAAAAGTCACAATCGCATGCTGAGCGCCGATCGGAGATCTCTGCCCAGTTGGCCAAGAAATACGAAGGCAAATCCCGTGAGGTTAGTCACTAATACTTATCTTAATATATATACTAAATTAAAATTTATATTTTAAAGGAACTTATGCTAATTGCCAATGGTATGGAGAATGAGGCTTTGCTGCAACGACAGCGGGTTAAGGAACTGGAGGACTATCTGGACAATCTGCTCCTCCGGGTGATGGAGACGCATCCCAAGATCCTACAGAATCCCTACTCGCGCACCACATCCGCCAAGAGGTACGCCAACAGCCCGAGATCCTTCTGGTCGTTACCGCGGACCAAAATTACTCAACACTAACCCAACAAAAAAAAACAAAAATCAGAAAAATATTGCATGATTGACCTTTGACCGCCGGTAGGATTGTTGATAGAAAATGTTTCTAAAATGCTGTCTAATGCTCTCTAATATATGTGATCGAAATTGCTGTGTGCACGCTGGTTGGGGATGAAAAAAAAATCTAAAAAATTGTTTATTTTTTAAATATTTCTTTGTGTTTTTTAAATATTGTTTTTTGTTTAAAAAACAATCCTCCGCCGATCTGCATGCACTTGTTAGTGTCCTGTGTGTCCTTTGTGTTCATCCATCTTGTCATCCATTTGTGCTAACACCTGCTACTGTTGTCCTGTTATCCTTGTTTGTCGTTTGTGTCCTTTTAACCGAATGCCTTCTATTTCGTTTTTCGTTGATTTTTTCTTCTGTTTTTTTATTCAGTTATAAAAATTACATCAATATGAATGACTTTCTTAAGTAAAAGTGTGCTGCGCATGTTGCAAGTTGCATTTAAAAACTAGATAACTTGACCTTCAACAACAACTACCACAACAACAACAACAACAAAAATCATCACAACAACCACAAAAATAATAAAAAACAGGAAGTACAGTGAAACCAGGAAGAGGAGCCGAACCAAAAGGCGGAAGAAGAGCATCCCCCCGAAGTAAGAAGAAAACCAGAAAGTTTCATCCATCCCCATCATGCTGTCTCTCTTAGTAGCTGGTTTAGCTGTCTCTTTTCTTTTGGGCTTGAATGTTGTTAGCTGGGCTTATGGCTTCCTCTACTTCCTGCTCCCCCCCCAATCTACTCTCTACACCCCCACAACTAGTACTACTATTTTTTAAAAATATATTTCTTAGAAAAAAATATGTATTTCTTTAAAAAGAATATCCTTTTCTTTTATTATTTCAGCGGTTAAAAAAGCCAAACTTGTCACACACACACACCTCCCCACACACACTTACATATATACATGAAGCTTCAAGGACTTCCTACAAGGTCACAGGATCTGGATAAGAACACCAAGTTGCCTTTGTCGTTGGACAGCGAAATTCAAGTGCTTTCTAAACAAAATAACCTCCCTCCCCCCCAAAAACACCAAAAGATGGTACGGGAGGGGGTATATCCTAAATTAAATTATAAAAACCAAGTAGTTGTAGGCTTTAAGGACTTGCATACTGATATTTCCGGTACATGTCGTTCTATTTCGTATATATCCTGTACTAAAAATGAACTAAATTATTTGTACTATACACCCACACCTACACACACAACAAGACCGTTTATATATATAAATTTTTATCTATATGTTTCGATTCGAGTCCCCCCTAATCGATTGATTGAAATTATCCGAAAGTATTTTGTTTTTTTTTTTTTAATGTCAAATTTTTATGTAATATTTGTTGTGCAAAAAAAAAAAAAGAGATAGTGAGAAAAGTTTGAGAACGTTTTTTTGTAAAGCGTCGCCGGGGAAGCGACCTTAGTGAGTTAAGTCTTAAATTATTTATGTTTTAGTGCTTAAGCCAAATGGCGGGAATAGCGGGGTCACCCATTGACCCCGAAATAACACACATACACCACACCACACATACACACACACAGTTGAAATATGTTGATACTACTATGATTTTACTTATTGATATACAACTCAAACAATAAAAATATTTTTAACATTAATAACAAATGCAAAATGGAGTTTTTTTTATAAGTGGTTGAATTAAAAAAAAAATATTTTAAATACTTAAATATTTTTTTATTTGTTAAAATTTTTGAACTCAAACCCTCCCTAAACTCCCGTTTAAAAAAAAAACTAGAGATCACTTTTAGGCGCTGCAGAAAAAGAGTACTTGGGAGAGCAGTTTGCGCCGCTCTCCCGGTGTGCGAAAGAAAGTGCCCCATGAGAGAAGAAAAAGAGGGGCCGCAATATGCAGATCATGAATGGAAAGTGGTGAGAATCAACTGAGCAGGTAAGCCGTTGTACACTGGAAAAAAACCAAAGAAGTAAAAAAATATTTAAGCCAAAGAAATGTATTGTGGTTTAATTTGTGGTTTTAAAATGAAATAAATAAAATTATGCTAAACGTTAGCCATAAAATATTTAAAACAAGACCAAAAAACCTTAATTACAGTGTCATAAAACCAACAAAAAGTATAATTATATTTTATATTATGAAAATAAATAATTCTTCTAACTAACTAAATAAAAACGACTAACATAAATAGCTATATTACGTTATAATTATTACACCACAATTATAATAAGTTAAGTTTCTCTCAGTGCAGCACTCTCTCTCTCGCTCTCTCTCTCTCTCTTCGGCTCTCTGGTGGTGTGGCCAACTCGCCCGACAGATCAACCGTTCGGCCCGAACTGGCCAGAAATCTGAAATCTGTCGGCAGTGAGCGATCGAGGAATCATATAGTTCCCAAACAGAAGCGGAGGAAAACGCACTCTTCCCTCGGCAATTATTTATTTATTTTTTTTTCGTTTACTTCGCGCTCCCGGAAAAGTGCAGTGAAGTTTCTTGCTTTCGAAAACCAATTTTCAAAACCATTTGGCCAATTTTTTTTGTTTTTACTGTTCCGATCAGTGCACAAAATTCAAAAAAATCAAAAAAACGAAAAAAAGGAAAAGTGTTTAACGAAGAAAAGCAGATGCCACAGTGTAATTGGATTGTTGGGATAACTCGCGTGGAAAACTCGCGGAAAATGATGTGGCCTGAAAACTGAAAAAAAAAAACAAAAAATTCAGAGGATCATCAAACGAAATCGAAAGGAAGGCACGACTAGTGGAGATAGACTGAGAGAAAAACCGAGTGATTTGGCGAAAAGTGAGTGATTTTTAATGCAAAAATATGTCAGAAAGTCGGGCTCAAGTCCGCCGGCAAAAAAATAAATAAAAACCTATATATATAGTATATAGTATGTATTATCTGTATCTCTCCAATCTCTCTCCAACTACAAGCCACACTCATAATCGTTATGCTATATATGATATATATGTGGATTATAGTATGTATATATATATGTTGTGTTATGGTTTATGATTCGGATCGTCTGTTTCGGAAGCGACGGGCCCAGTTGATGATCATGATGATGATGATGATCATCTCTCTTTGGGGTTTTTGGGGTTGGGAATGTGGGGATGCGAATGCGGATACAGACACACCGAAATGGAATGGAATTGAATTAAATCAAATGATAAAAAATATAAATCGAGTGTAGAAACAGCGACCAACCGAAAACCGAAACAGAGGCAGCCCTCTGTATGCAGATACAGATACATTTACCAGATACACAGATACAGATATATACAGAAAAGACCTGAAAGGGTAAAAACAAAAAAAAAAAAAGATCCAAAACCAAACCAAAGCGCATCTGCACTTCTTTCTTGTTTCCCCCATCGAAGATTTCTTTAGGCTCGTGCCCAGACTCTGTAAATAAATAGGGGGGAGGTTGCAAGACTGAGGACTGAAGGGGGGGACTGAAAAAAAACATTCAACTCCCCGGCTAACATTGCTTACATAACCCAGCACCCCCTCATCCTCCTATCTTTATATATATTTTTTCAAACTGTCAAAATCTGTCCGTGTCAAGATGAGTTATGTGCAGCTATAGATGCATATTCAGATAGAGATACAATACTAAAGATACTGTACTTGTTTCAAGGAGATATTTTATTACGATATATTAAAAATAATAGGTTTTTAGGGGGTTTTTAGGTCTGAAAAGTACTTGGGATTTATAATATTTTAAAAGTTATAGATATTTTTAAATATTTTTAGGAGGTTTTTCTTATAAGAGGTGTCTTGAAACCCATCTTATGAGGGTCCTTAGGAGACAGAAGCTTTATGTCTTTGGTTTTATGTCTGAAAACTACTTGAGATTTATAATATTAAAAGGATATTTTTTTTTTTTATTATTTTTAGAAGCTTGAAACCCTTTTTTTTGATGATCCTCAGGAGACAGAAGCTTTAAAACTGTTAGTAAATCGGTTCTCAGCTCTAGTCCCCTTAAGTTCTTGAAGCTATACCATTTTAAAGAGCATTTACCAGTCGTGTTACCTTAAAACTTTCCTTAAATTTCTCTGAAATGTCAAGTGATCATCTGGGTAATTCCCCCCCCATCCGTCATCAATCAATATTACCAGTTTTCGAGTTTGGGATTTCGATGATTTGCGATTTGTTAAGTGCAATTTCGAGTGTTGGTGCGAGTTGGTTGCCCCCCTTTATAGGTGGGGTGTCGGCTGTATGTGTGCCGCACCCCCTTCTTTTTATTTTAGGATCGCGGGTCTAAGGCATATAGTAGAGTTAAGCAGACCAGGAATTTGTTTGTTTAGTTGGGTCGGTCGTGTGTTGAATGCGTTTTAGGCAAAAACAACATTTTGCCAACACACTTGAGTAAACATTCCCATTCACCGGCTGGCTGGCTAATGTTTTAAAACTGAAAAGCTAAATTGTTGATCAGGTTGCTTGATGCTTCTTCTTTTTTATCATAATCATCATCATCATCATCGTCATCATCATCGTCGCGCTGTTGTTTCATTAAATTCCCTGCTCGTTGTCCCATGAAAAGTGCTTAATGGTTTTGTCGCGTTTTGGAATTTACACAACAAACAACTACACACACACACACATTGCGACAACAAAAAACAAATATTGGTGCAACAGAGATGGCTAGAGATACACAACAAAAAAAAAAAAAAAACAAAAAATCAGTCCAACCGCAGATTCAGAATCATAAAAAATTCGTGAGCATTCAGCTGACAGTTTAATAAATGTCGTTGCTTTTCTCTTTGTTTTTGTTTTTTTTGTTGTTATTATTGTTGTTGTTGTTGTTGATGCTGTAAGTGGGTGGAATACACTCTCTAGAAAGACTAAAGCCTCCAGCATTAACAGCAGAAATTTGTAGAAATTGTAGAAATTCTTTCACAAATCCGAGATGTTGCAAGGTTGGTTTGAAGGCAAGTTATTTTTAAGATTTCTAAATAGGGTTTTATTTTTCTATAAAATTTAATTAATTATATACTTATGTGGGTTTAGTTTAGGGCAGTTTGGAAATAGTCCCAGAAGAGATCAAACTTTTCTTATCAAAGCTTTTGCCTATTGTTTGAGAGGTTTTAGGAATTATAATAAAAAAAAATGTTTTTTTTTAGCTTTTTATTTCATAAACCTTGATTTACTATATTTCTTTATTATAATAGTCCATATGGTTTATTAACAAATTAAGAAGAGTTTATATTTTTCTCTAAAAATCAGCTTTTATTTAAAGGTTTTGTGATGTTATCTTTAAAAGCGCTTGATCCTCTTGAACTGCTTGAGAATTCTTACAGAAAACGGCTTTTTCGAGAATAGAAAAAACAAGTTAAATAAGAAAAGATCAGCACAAGTACTCTATAAAAGTTTTTTTTGACTTCTAAAATACTTGAATTTATTTCCCCTAGTTTTTCTATATCTTTCCTATTTTTGCAAAACACATCTCCTCCCCACATTAGCATCCCCAAGATCATGACTTCACTTACTGCAACGAGTTTGTCCCCCTTTGGCTGGTTTTTGTTTGATGTGGCTTTTTTTATTTTGGGTCTTGAGATAAAAATACGCGAATCTTTTCGCTTCTCCTTGGCAGCTGTGCCGTCGTCTGACAGAAAAAGCCAAAAGGAAAATGCCCTGTCCCCTGTCTCTTCTCAGCCTGTCTGCCATTTGGACACTTTTGGTAATTGGATTGGAAATGCGGCCAGCAATGTGGCTTTCTTTTCTTTATTTATTTCTCGTTCAATACACACTATACTATATTATACTATACTATACTGACCCATTTTTCTTAACGTGGCGATCAGTGATCGGCCCCATCCCCATCCCCCCTTTTGCAATGACACAGCCCCTGTGGCTGCCACAGCCTCAGCCTCAATTAGTGCAACATAAGATACAACAACAACAACAACAAAAAAGTGGAAAACAAAAAGGCAACATGATTTAAATTGCTGTCACTGTCAGTTTGTCAGACAACGGCGACAACAACCCAACAATCGCAACACGAGTTGTTCAAAAAAATAAATAAAAGCGAGAAAAGACAACACCAACGAAAAGTATCTTAAAGATACTACACCATAGCGTTGACATCCTAAATCTCCTCTATATATTTGGTTGGCTTTCTGGAGCTGTCACTTGGCCAGAACAGAAAAAGAAACAGAAACCTGTCTGCGTTTGGTAACCGGAACTTCATTTCTATTTAAAGTTTGAAATTTTCTATGAAAATAAAATCTAATCAGCCCGGTCAAATGGGTTTTTAATTATATAGTCAAGGGAGGAGGAGGAGGAGGAAGTGTTGCCTTTTTAGGGGTTTCCTGAATAGACTGAGAAACACTAAACACTTGTTGTTGAAATGCTAATGAGCTCTCCCCCTCAATTCTCAATTGATCGCCAATTCCAATTTCACCCAATCAATTATTATTTTTTTTTCCGACTTGGGTAACTCAATCCATCCGCTTAAAGTCGAACCCGCACCACAGCACAGCACATCACCAACAGCACCAAACAGCACCACCGTACCAACCACATGCACTTGCCTATAGAGAGAACCCCACCCGCTGTTATGGTGACGGTGGCCATAATGGTTGATTTTAATTAAATATTTCTTCTTCCTGTTGTTGTTTCCCTCGGTTTACGTGGTCTCGTCATTGGTCTCTCTATGTTATATGGTATATGGTATGGTATAGTATGGACCTTCCTTCCCCGATCCACCCACACCCATAGCCAACCATAGCCACCATAGCCATTCCCTATTCCTCAACCCATTCCCTTTATATCCCTCTTTTTTTTTTCTTTTTTTCTCATCCGCTTCCCGGGTTTTCAATGGTTTATGATTGAAAAGTGTGTGGAAGCCCGGATTTTCCAGGGAAACCGGCTTCTGGGTTTTTCCTTTCGGGATACTAAACAGAGTCAGTGAGAAGCCTTGAAAGCGGAAGTCCCCATACCCGATCCCGATTCCGATTCCGAACCCGATCCATTCACTTGTCGTCTTGGTCGTCGCGTTTGCTGCATAAATAATAATCGCTGTCTATTATAGTTTGATGATCCAAGGAATCATCAAATCGAATCGTATCTGGTGAGGAGCTCTGTTTAAATACAAAAAAAAATATAAACAAAAACCTAAAGGGGGGGTAATCCGATGAGCAATGAACCCAAGCTATATAGAGAGTCGAGGAGTTGAGGGCGTCGGTAGGGAATCGGCGGTACCCCAAGCTGTCCATTAAATTTGATTGCAAACTGTACGCATTTATGATCACTCGAGATTATAATCATCATCATGATGATGATGATGATGATCGCTATGTGATGTTTTATCATGATGATGATGATGAGGGAACTGGCGTCGCATTATCAGTAATATGGAAATATTGCATGACTATGACCGTTGGCCGTTTATTAGTTTGCCGTTGCGCGAATTATTTTTATGCCTCCAAAAAGGGGATAGGGATATATATATACATACACCATATAGACATACATATAGTAGATGTATGTATATATTTTGCAAAAAAACATTATAGCTGCTGGAGATCCTAAGTGGCCTGAGCTCTCCGAGAAAGTTCTCATGGGAAAAAAATGCAGATGGTATCCATCAGAGATCGTAAAATTTTTTAGTTCTTCCATATTATCCATTACAGTGAGAAATATTTTGAGTTACTTCTTTGATATTAATAGGAATATTTTTACTATTTTTAGTATAATGATGCCGCCAAGACTGCCGGTAAGACCAGCAGCCAAAACGAAACGATCGACGACGAGTAGAATTAGCCAGGATATATTAGCCCAGATCCACCAGGAGACGGAAACCGAATCGGATACCCAAATGCCAACACACACAACGTTTCATAAGCGCCGGCGAAGGCGAGATCCCGGCCAGAACCCAATTCATACCCAAAACCCACGATCGGAGTGGAGGAGTAGGAGAAGCTGGTGCTCCCCGGAAGTTTGTTTGGCTCTCATCCTGCTCTCCACAGCTTGCTCCGTTTTGGGAGCCAGCACAGAGTCAACATCCACAACCACATCCACCATCTCCACCTCCGCCGAACAAACCGACTTGTCGGACGAGTCGGCGGGCATCCAGCCATCCGCGGGTGGTTGTGCCCCCCAGCATTGGTGGGACTCGAATCGAAACCGGTGCATACCCTGCACCCGGTGCCAGGACGAAATGATACCACTGCGTCCTTGTCAGCTGCACACGGACACCATCTGTGGCTCCATCTATGACTTAAAGATCGATTGGGTGGTGCTGGCCAAGACAGAGCCCAATTGGAAGGAGGTGAGTTGTTATCTTGAAGGATTTATGTATTATTCCAAGGACTAATCAAAGGATTAGCTAGAAGTAGGCTCACTGTCACGGTCGCCATGTTTGATGTACCTGTCACGGTCATGGTCGCCATGGTCTGTAGCTTCTTTAAAACCTCTAAAACTATTTTTTCTTTCCTCCTTTTAGCGCCGAAAGTCCTCTGAGTATGAGCACCTGGAGCATGCCAAGCACCTGCAGCACCTGACCCACGAGCAACTGCAGCAGCTCCACGAGGAGGCCACTGCCGCCGCCTGGGCGCTCGACTGGCAGACGGGCGTCCTCTATGCCGCCGTGCTCACCTGCCTGCTCTTCTTCTCCGTCGCCGCCTGCATCCTCATCCACCACATGCGCCAATGGCGCCGCATGGAGCGTCGTCTGGATCAGGGTAAGTCTCAATAGAAAACCTCAATAGAAATCCCTAGAAAGAGACCTTCCATTAGTCCAGTTCTTTCACTGCTTTCTGTACTTTCACACGCTCCCATGTCGATTTTGGTTTAAATTCCGATCGCGTTTCTTGGCCAGGCCAAGGGCCCGAAAAGTCCGAATCGGCTCTCTGGCAGATCGGCCTGCCTGGCATTGCCAAGTGGCCGTAGAAAGCCCTAAACAGTCCGTGTATTCCCATACATATTTATAAGCCTGCCCAGAACACGACACTTTGATGTATTGCCGTGGTTGAGGTTGAGGTTGTGGGAAGGGGAATCTTGATGCGGCATCGCAAAGACGCCTGGTCGGAGAAGGTTGGAGAATACTAAACAAGCTGTGGAGGAGCACTGGGCTCCCAAACCGCGACCGCAACTGCGACTGCGCCTGTGCCAAAGTAGAACGAAACGTCCAAATATTTGGCGCATGTGCGACAGCAAAACGCGATTTGCATGACAATCTGTCAAGGCACTGAAAGAAATCATCCAAAAATACCATAAACTCTCAGTATAAATCAAAATATTTCCATAAGATTTCGCCAAGTGCACTTGAGAAACAAATTGTGGAACCGACCCGTGGCTTCCATGTTCGACTTGACCGCAGTGGGACGCGAAACATGAGCAACCCGAAACCCAAAAAAACAAAAACTGCAAAGTACAGTTGCCCTTGGGGCGTCTCCCAGTTGCAAGAACTTGGGTCCAAGTCCCAGGGCAACCAGCCTCCAAATGGAGCATAGCAGACCGCAACCCAGAAGGGTGTCCATTCCAACAAAAAAAATAAAGTAACACACACACGAATAAAAATAAAGGGAATATATATACAACTATACTATACTATACTATATATATAAGAAAAGATTTTTTTTTGTGGCGCACAGACGCGAGCCACATGTTGCAGGCAGAGTAGCAACAACACAACCATCAACTAGCAACTTGCAACATTTAGATCAGGGAAAAACGGCGAAAAACCAACAATGTGAGATTTTCACTTTTCCGGAAGATTTATGCCATGTTTTGATAGGGCTCTACGCCTGCCCCTTGTTGTTGCCCCTTGTTCTTGCCTCTTGTTCTTGCCCCTTGTGGTTGTTGTTGATGATGTTGCCAGTGATGTAAATCCATAATTCAGGGTGTGTCGACGTTGCACGTCCCACGCTCCAATGAAAATGAAAAGTGCTGCGTGTCCAGCGTGGAAAATATTTTCCGTATTTTCTTTCTTCCGGTAGCCAAGACATCTTCGTAATATATGAGTGTTTTTCTTTTTTTTTTGGTGGTTCTGTGGGCAGGTAACCAACAAAAAAAAAAACATCAAAAATCACACATTAGTTCCCCCCTTTTTCTTTTTTTTTTTTGAGTTTCCAACTTCCAAGGACAAGCGGATGTTTGTCGAACATTTCCGCGGTTGACAGAAAATTCCAAAATCATGTCACACACACATACACATCGACAGACAGGCCGAAGGAAAAACATGTTTTCCACACAGCAGGCAGGAAATGCAGGGGCGGGGGGATCGTCTCCAGATTTTCCCAAATGACTTTCCTCGATTTCCCCGATTCGAATTCGAATCGGAGTTCGAGAAATCGCCACTTGAAGCGGAGTTTCCAACACGCGCTAATGTGTTTCTACATTTTCCCCTCCTGTTGTCTGTCGAGGGTTCTATAAATATACTCCCCATATATCCCTTCATCTCCTCTATATATATATATATATTTATTTATATATATATCTTTGCGTATATATATATTGAAATGATTGAACATCGACCAGCTGCTGGTGCTGGATCTGGCTCTTGCCACAGGAAACTGCACTTTTTTCGATGGTTTTGGTTGGAAGGGTGCAGAGTAGGAAGTGTTTCCCCCATTCCGAGGCGTTCAAGCGCATCATTGACAATTCTCCTCCTACCCCCCTTTTGGCACGCGCCCATGCTCAAGATCTGGGCAAAAATGTTGCAGTACATTCCAAATATAGATACTTCGAGGTGAACTTAAAAAAAGGGCATTAAAAAGAGCTGCTTTAAACTTACTTCTTTTGTTGGCTACTTTTCTTAAATTTTCTTGAGGATTCCTTGTGGTTCAAACGTGCTTTTCTTATGATTTCCTCATTTTTTTGTCCTATGATTTTTTTGTAATTTTTTCCATGCCTTCGTGGCTCTTTCCTCAAGCCGTTCTTGCTTTCAAACCTCTTCTAAAAAATCCTTATTCCTTTCCCTAAAGTTTCCTTGCGCTTTCCTGATGCTTTCCTTATGCTTTCCTTATACATACATTCCTCATATCTCCCTCACTGTTTAAAGCCCCAACCCTTTGAAAGTTTTCCAGACTTTTCTCTGTGGCTTCCTGGACTTTGATTTCTTCGCACTGCTCGTTTATGTTCACTAATCTGTGGCCAGGCGAGTTCCATGGAAAATCGATCGCTTCCAAACAAACCAACCAGACACGCATTTTGGGCAGAGACTAGGCCCACTAAGGCCCCCCTTTATGAGGGGAAAATGAGGGGAAAATTCAAAGGCCAATTGAACTGCGCAAATTTGAAAATTTGTTGGCCTCGCATGGCCTCTATATTTTCTGATCTGAATATTTTTTTTTCTCATGCTTTTACTATTCTCTGGCGTGTTTACCTTTCCATGTATTTTTCCACCAGATTTTTATGGCCGATTGTTTATAATAAAAGGCGTTGAACGATGGCCAAAAAAGAAACATCGCATATCTTGGGCAATGGAACTTAATTTTTTCTTTTGTTTTTTTTGGTTTATATTCTTCTTGAAGTCGGCAGTTTATAAATAAATGATAAATTATCTGCCGACACCGATGCCGCTGCCGCCCACTGGCCACCGAATGCGGGCGGCGGCGCCTCTTGTTTATAATTTGCAACTCGAGGCTCCACGAGGCTCTCGATTTCCTCCGCCGCCACCTAAATAATAAATATTTAAATTCGAGAAATCGTAATTTATCATTTGTAAATATTAACAGGAGATCTGGTCTTTATTTCAAACTTTTCTCATTCATTTCTTGATAAACAAATTAATTTATTTTCTTTATTATTATTTTTATGTTTCTTTCAAAAAGATGTGGAGGAGCTGTCAACGAAACTGATGGCAAAGCTGGCGGAGGTGCAGAGCCTGGACGGAGGCACCTTCTTCATTGGGAATGCGGACGCCTTGCGGGGATTGCCCGCCTCGGCCATCCAGGTCGGGCATCCAGATTCCGGGCAGGCGGCGCAGTCGGGAATCTTCCAGCCACAACACGTGCTACTCCCTGGTAAGTGTCACCCTTGAATACTCCAGGGTCCTAAACCTCCTCCTCTCTAGACCCCGACTGAGGTCAACCACTTGAGTCGGAAAGTAATCCCAGCGGGTTTCCCAAAGGGATTTCTAAGCAATAGACCAAGTCCAAGTCGAAGGATTCTGTTTCTTTTCAAGGCAATAAATAAACTATTAAAATTATACAACAAATAATATAGTCCTGGGTGGCAAATGATCCACTCCATAAGATTAAAATCAACTAAAAAATCCATAAAAAGAAATAAATAAAAGAAGCAAAATCCTAAAATCCAAGGGGGTCTGCAGAATGCAGATGGAATTTAAATGAAGGAACGTGGCTTGTGGCCTGTCTGTCAGCCAGACCATCGATCATTGATCATCACTCACCCTTAATGATTATTTATTTATAAATTGAAATTTTTTTTGTATTTTTTATTCTTGCAGAGAAAAGGGGAAAGCACCAGGAGCGAAGGATCCTTAAGACCCTGCAGCCGGGCAATGTCTACATAGAGGAGAGCAATGGGGGTCTAGGAATGGGAATGGGTGGGGGTTTTGGAGGGGGCATGGGCATGGGCATGGGCCCCAAGGGCTAACGGGGGGTAATACTTAAGGAGTGCCAGGATATCGGAAAAACTTTTGTACAAACAGCCGCTTAAAACAAAAAAGAAGAAATTAAAACGAAAGAAATGGAAGCCGAAACTATTATTATTATTTAAATATTATTAATCTTATTCTAATATTACGAACCTTTTTTTTTTGTCCTAATATATAATATGAATCGTTATGTTGACTTGTTTGTAATAATGGAGATATCACCAAACCCAATCCCCCACGCTAAAAAAAATGAAAAAAATCAAAAGGAGACCGTAGAAGATTTTGTAAATAGAAGGGATTTTGTAGACGAGCGAGAGGATTACGGGGCTATATACATAAATATGGATTACAACTTTTACGATTAACAATTCTACTTAATGTAAATATTAAGGCGATCGAAACGAGAACAAGACCAAGTAATATCAACAACATATCAGCCTCTATATAGACACCAATCATATATAGAGTCAAGTATTGTTAACACTTTATCCCTCAAGTATACACAACTTTTGGGCTAAATCGTATTAACTGTAATAGTAATGGTAAAGCTTATGATAGAACTAATTATAACGATAATAACGATAAATAATGCATAACTTGTAATGTTAGAATGAGAAATGTTTATAACCTAAGTGCTCTATCATCACTCTGTGCGACAAAACAATAAAAAGTTTTATGCATATGCGAAATATTTTGGATTTTAATTTATTGAGATTTTGGATAATATAAGAAGGTCTTGTATAGAAATCGGTTAAAATTCGACTTCTCTACTTAAATCTGTACTTAAATAAAATCATTTCCTTTTTTAAAATCACGCACTAGTGCTTCCCAAACATAAACCTACATTTTTGTAGTTACGAGTCTTTTCCAAGAAAATATTTTTCAAAAATTCTAAACTTTGAAAAGAGAAAGATATTTATTTTTCAGTTTTTTATTAATCATAAAAATATATAGCATAATATTTAGTTTGTTTGTATCCCCAAATGGATCTCTCTGGCTGGCACCACTGCGTCTACAGCCTCGTCTACTTCCATGTCCCAGTGGAGATGTCTCCGTAGAACCACCTCCCCTCCCCTCCATTGCCATTTCCATTTCCATATTCAAAAGCCCCCAATCCTCTAAAAAAAAAACCATATGCATAATTGTGCAAAGATCTTGAACAGTTTTTCGGAGGGGGAGGCCAGGAAACGTCTTTCAGTGGAAATGAAAATGAAAATGGAAATAGGTGCCTCCGTTCGGCCCCACCACCACTAGTATTTATTTTCTATCCCCCAGATAGCTTTGGGTGCCTTTGGCATTTGCATTTTTAGAGAATTGTCTCCAAGTTAACATTGAAAATGGCCAGCAAATGGCGACGAACGAGTGTGCCTTTGCTTTTGCATTTATTAATGTTGTTTTCCATTGTATTGCGGTTGTAAAATTTTAAATGATTGTCAGGGCTACAATGTGGTTGTTGTAGCTACACGGTAAGAAAAGGGTAACATATTAACAAAAGAAGGGGATGACCTAAATGGGGTTTCGAGAGCTCCCAGATGGGGTTACTAGAATCTTTTTCTAGAGAAGATTCTTAAGGAAGGTAAGATTCTTAATAAGAGGGCTAGTAAAGAATTATCGTAGGGATAGATCATTTTAGAAGACCATCATAAGAGAGCTATATATATGATATCTTCCTAATAATTTCAAAAATATATATATCATATATTAGAAAAAGTTCTCAAGAAATTCTGAAGGTTCTTCATAATTCTTAAGTTTCTTAAGAAAGTATTGTTATGATACGGGTTCTCCTAAACACCTGCTACTTCCCAAACTAAAGAGGTATAGATTCTTCATAACCAACCTCTCCTATTCCCCATAAAAGTATCCAATTTTTTCCTTCAGTGTCGGCTTGTTTGTTTATGATGGAATTTTGTTGTGTCTTTAGCTAATGAAATTCGATTAAATGCCAATGTTGATTTCAATGTTGATTCCGAGATGTGGCAATGGCGACGCTACGACTGCAAAACGCGCAAAACATTTCCAATGAAAAGCCAGTTACCCCCTTCGGTGTCCACCATATTATTGGCCATTCCGGGCACGGAGTCCGAGCTTTTCTGATTGGAGATTCGTTTCCAGCCATGGCCCGAGACCGGGACCGGGACCGAGCAGAAATTAATTAGCCGCGACGTGGCATAAATTAGCAAAAAAAAAAAAAAAAAATAACTACCAACTAAATAGTCGATGGATTAGAGAGGGTTTTAACTTTATAAAGACCAAAGGGTTTACCTTAAGGAATGGGTTGTAGATCTTAAAGACTCAAGAAACTAATGGATTGGATTTCTATAGATCTAATTAGAGTCTGAACTATATGTACTAGGTATTATATGATTATATCTTTAAAGTAGAAACTAAATAAGCTTATTATTATATATTTCATACCATATCAAAGCTAACATAATAATCCCTATAGAATCTATAGATCTGTGTATCTTTTCCCATCCCTTGGTTATAAATCCATTGATTTCCGGATCTCTTTCCTGCAGTTGGCGCCGGCACATGTCAAAGTCATTTGGTTGGGATATACATCCATACATCTATAGTTCCCATCTATAAGGTATATGTGTGTATATTTTTAAAACAGTTGCAGCTGCTGGAGAATGCACTTGAGATGGCAGATTGATCGTAAAAAGCAGAAAAGCGGAAACGGAAGGAAGTGGCCATTAGCCGGAAAGGGGGGGAATGTTAAGACATTTGATACCAGATCTCGAATGACTATCGAGTATACAATAAGTGAGCAATGTGAATGAATTTATTCAGCTGTCCCTGAAGTGTTTGATGTTTGGTTTGAAAAAAATATGAATAGCCAAGCCAATTGCTCAATGAATCAAAAATAGCGCCACGAGTATAGTAGAAATCTGGCGGCAATTGGCGGTTTTGAATGCCTTGGAATGTGCACGTAGTTGGCCCCCCACCTCGCCACCAGCCATCGGCCACCTCACCTTTCTGACCATCTTGACCAACCAGGCCTTTTGGCTTTCTGGCACTTGGCCATCCAAATGCGGTCAGCCTGGCATTTGATACGCTTTGCAAGCCCATTTGGACATCGACTTCGACTTTTGGTTGGCCATATATTCATAATACTTATAACACTCGCAATGGTGAATTGTGCGATTTTTGGATCGTTTCCGTTGGCCGAGAAACTGAACGGCGGGCGGCGGCGGAAATGCGATTTCAACTGGAAATAGACACGAAATAGAAACGAAAAATATTTGCAATATCTATTGGGGATTTTATGGGAAAAACAAACGCAACGGAAAGCCGACAGGAAGTGGGTTTCCCTTCCAGAGATCTTTGGTTTTTCCATTTAATAAAAACTTGGCAAAAAACGTTTAGAAAATGGCTAGAAAACGGGGAGAAAGTTCACACTGCTTGCCGGGAGGTTGGTGTCCCGGCTGGGTCCTGTTTGCTTCGTCACACCTAGATGGCGCCAGGAGTACTATTTTTTGTGAAAATCTCAGCCATTTCTTAGCCAATTTTTAAAGGGAATACCAAATATGAATGAGGCTTTAATCCTCTTCGATCTGCGTTAATATATGAAGAATATAAATTTTTGAAAAATTTTTGAAAAAATTATGATGCTACCCCTTAAAAAATGTTTGAAAATTGGTTCAAATTTTCGATGGCCAGATTTGGCTGGAAAATGTTAGTACTCCAAAAACTAAGATCGGGAAGGTATATCACTTAACAATCGGACACATATTGGCTAAGTTATGACTAGTAAGGCTTCAAAAATACTGTTATAGGTTCTTGGGAAGGAGACTTTGGCCAAAATGAACCCTTTTTTGCCAACAGTGTCGGCATTTGGCAACCGATTCGCAAACCAAATACCATTTATGAACCAGGACCTCAATAGCCTTCAAACTGCATTAAAAGATATTAAAAATTAAACAATAAAAATTTTTCCAATTTTTTGCCAAAAATTCTGATGGTACCCCTTGAAAAATGTTCAAAAAATTCGACAAAAATTTTTTGATTGAAATTCCAGATTTTGTGTCCTTTATAGAAGGTGACTGAAAGCCTGATTAAAAAATGGTAATCCGTTTCCAAATCGGTTGCGATATAGCTGAGATATTCAACAAAATGTGTCTGGAATATTCCCATTTTGGCCAGCTTCCATTATCCTATGGTCTTAACTGTCCCAATCCCACATTTTCTATCCCTTAAGCCAACCCACTTAAAGTTAGTCACTCCCCATTAACTAAAAGCATTTTAAAACCATGGCTCTATTGATTAAGAATTTTAAAATAAATAAGATTCCTCTGGATTAATCTAGGTATCCTTGCTGAGAGAAGGAATCCTACCTGTCTACCTGTGACTTTGTTTTCTTTTTTGGCGCCCTCCTGCCTCGGCTGCCTTGGCATCCTGTGCTTTTGTGTCCTTTGTTTAATTGCACGTTGCGGCACGCGAAATTAAACAGAAAGATAGCTGGAGAGCAAGGAGTGTCGTCCTGGGGATGGCTGCTGGGAAGCCATAGGGCAGATAATGAGACCAGGAGGAGTCTGAAGAGCCAAGGCAAGGAGGCAGGAGGCCCGGGAAGCCCGAGGGGCTCGGCTAAATGGCAAAAGAATGACAAACGCCCAGCAGAAAGTTCCTTTTTTCCATGTCCGGGGGTGGGGAGGGGGGAGTGGGAGTGTCATATCTTTGGCGTTGTCTATTGTTCCCAAAAGTGTTTTTATTTAGCTCGGCCAGCCAGCTCAGCATCTGAGTAGCTCCAGATCCTTGGAGGTCCTTGGCGTTTTCCGCCACACCCCGCCATTGGCTTTTCTCGCCTCCTTGGCATTTGCACACAGACTTTACGTTTGTTTTATTATCTTTTATTATTGCCTCGGCCGCTTTTGTCTAATTTCGTTGTTGTCCTTTTCTGGCTGCCTCACCTTATCCTTGTCCCTGTCCTGGATGTCCTGGTACTATTTTCGCCCCACTCTTGGTGGTCCTTCCCCTACCTTTGGTGCTAAATTGGCCGTTAAGATGCTAAAGATGCGGATTTCGGTGATTTACCAAGTGGGTCGTCCTTGTAGACCTTGAGAGAGGGGAAAGTCCCTTTTTAGTCCGAATTCTTAAAATAATTGTATCATTAAATATTTTTAATTTTAATTGGGAGACAAGGAAGTGTCTATTAGTTTGGAATGTCTTTTATTTTATGACTTTTTTTATTTATTCTTTAGTTATTAATTGAATATTTAAAAACTAACGATTAATTAATTTGAAATCTTTGATAAGCTTAATAACACTCTTATAGTGTTAGACAACGTGTGTTTTGGTAAGTTTTCCCCACCACAGGGTGATCATTGCCAATATCGGTGCTCCCCTCACCCACCACTGATCGCTGCACGCTCTCTTTTTTTTTCCGCGCTTTGATCTCAAGTTCGGTTTTAATCCTTCGCTTATTTCTCCGTTTGTATTTGCTTAATCGAGTGTTTTACTTTAGTAGTTTGTTATGTAAATGTGCTAAATACCGTTGTGATCAATAAGAAATCTAAGTAAAATGCTCGTGATCGGTGCCGGTAACTAGCATTTGTGCCGGTGTGCGTCTGTGTGAGTGCGCGTCGCATGAATTGTTTACAAAATTGCTTGTAAACTTAAAATTCGCTGAATAAGGGTATAAAATCTTAATAATATATACATATATATATTAGTTCTAACTCTATTTAAT